GGGTCTCCCAGACAGGCTCCTCTGTCCTCCACTCATGACCTGTGGTAATGGCACCTATCTGAACTGGTTCTCAGTCTAAACGACACCTGTTCACAACCCTCAAGCAGTACAACTCCAAACTCCAGCGCCTCTCAAGTTGCCCAGACTTCTGTTTGCCCAGGAGGGAGTCTCTCATGCGGGTTCAGCTACTAATTGATGTGCTGGGTTTGAGCCTGCCACTTTTGGACTCTCACTTGCTGAGATGTTCCTGCAAATATCTCTGTAGGTCTTAGGAAACTGTTTCGTGATTTAAGGCGCTGGCTTGTTGGCTGATAGCCAAACAGGGGATAGAGATGTCAATGTCTTGGTCCTTTCATTGCTGGCGGCTACTTCCTGGTGGAAATCAGGTTGTGCAGTACTGGCTAAACAGTATAATTTCTACAATGGTGTGGGCCGTAAACATCCTGTGATCATGTGGTACATCTCATTAAGAGCCACATCCACTGTTTTAACGTGGTGAGATGTCTTCCACATGGGGCATGCGTACTCAGCAGCGGAGTAGCAAAGCACAAAGGCAGATGTCTTCACTGTGTATGGTTGTGATCCCTAGGTTGTTCCAGTCAGCTTTTCTACCATGTAATTTCTAGCACCCACTTTTTCTGGATATTCAGGCAATGCTTCTGGTAGGTCAGAACATGGTCCAGAATGACTCCCAGGTATTTGGGTGTGCTGCAATGCTCCAGTGAGATTCCTTCCCAGGTCATCGTTAGAGCTCGAGGTGCTTGTCTGTTCTTAAGGTGAAAAGCACATGTCTGTGTTTTAGATGGATTAGGAATCAGCTGGTTTTCCCTTTAATGGGCAGTAAGAGCACCTAAGGCTTCAGAGAGGTTCTGTTCAGCCATTTCAAAGCTCTGCGCTTGAGCAGTGATGGCACGATCATCAGCATAGATGAAATTCTCTGTCACTTCTGGCAGTGGCTAGTCATTTGTGTAAATGTTAAATAATGTTAAACATTGGTATAAAGCAGGCCTGGGCAAACTTCAACCCTCCCTCCAGGTGTTTTGGACTTCAACTCCCACAATTTCTAACAATCTACCGGCTGTTTGCCCAAGCCTGGTATAAAGCAGCATCCCACTATTTCCAATAAACGTACCTCTCATATAGTTGGATGCTTCAGTTTTTTTGTCTGGTCGTTATGGCAAAGGCCTTGTTCTTCATTCCACGCTCCTTTCCTCCTCGCCAGAGGTTGAACAAAACATGCGCCATCATCTGAAAAAGTCAAATCATTGTCAACATCGTTCAGTTTTTAAAATGTATGAATTTATGATTTATTCTGACGAACTGACCTTTTGTAAGTTGTATAATTGTATAATTGTATTTTAATGTATTTTTGTACTATTGTATTATGATGTTTACTGTGGTTTATCTTATTGTATTTTAGCCCTCTGCTGTTAGCCAGCCTGAAACCCTCTTCGGAGGTCGAGAAGACTGGGTTACAAAAGCTCGAAATAAATAAATAAAATAAAAACACACTCTGGAGATGCTCACACTTTTAAAAAATACTTTCTATTATACTTACATTAACATAATTGAGTTAAACAGTATACAAAATAGAGAACGCTTAAATCCACCACCAAGGCCTGAACAAGTATCATTTCCATGGCCATAAATATATGAATAAACAAATACACGTTGTTTAATAATAATAATAATAATAATAATAATAATAGATATCCTTATTTCTTGTTATTTGGCTATACTTCTCTACTATGGCAAGCTTTAACACATAAAATTCCATAATTACAAATTGATAGTACTATTTATTTATTTATTTACAGTATTTATATTCTTCCCGTCTCAGGGTGGATCACATTGAGCAGTTTCACCAGAGATCTATCTTTTTCCTACCCTAACTATGCACTTTATTTCTGGCCCACCAATTGGTTACTTGACATTTTTAAGGGGATCTCCTGCCTCATTTCCTTTTAATCCGCACTTTCCACTGGCCCCAATCCGGAAGTATTGCATGAAAATGAGCCTGATCCCAGCTTTAACTGTTATCTCAGCCTTATTCTTTTAAGATGTTGTTTTGATTGTTTTAATGCTGTTTTATCTGTAACGTGGGCTTGCCTCCCTTGTAAGATGCTCCGAGTCCCTGCAGGGAGATGGTAGCGGGGTATAAGAATATTGTTGTTGTTGTTGTTGTTGTTATATATTCCCAACTCAAGAACGGGAAACATGGCCATACAGCCACAACAACCTAGAACATGGCCATACAGCCCGAAAAACCTACAACAACCCAGTGATTCCAGCCATGAAAGCCTTTGACAATACGGGAAACGTAAGGTTGGTGGACAGGGAAAGAGATTTACAGACGGGCTTAAAGCCAACCTTATAATAATAATAATAATAATAATAATAATAATAATAATAATAAGACTTTATTTGTACCCCGCTACCATCTCCCGAGGGACTCGGTGCGGCTTACATGAGGCCGAGCCCACAACACAACAATAACAATAACAGCAATAATACAAAAACAATACAAAACTCATAGCAAAATAAGCAAAAACAATAACAATAACACGACGCATTTAAAAACCAATGGCTGGGCCAAATGCAATAATTAAAATAAAAAAAAATGCTGGGCATGAACACCGAGAACTGGGAAGACCTGGCCCTTTAACACTCTAAGTCAGTGGTTCTCAACCTGTGGGTCCCCAGATGTTTTGGCCTTCAACTCCCAGAAATCCTAACAGCTGGTAAACTGGCTGTGATTTCTGGGAGTTGTAGGCCAAAACACCTGGGGACCCACAGGCTGAGAACCATAGCTGAAGGCTCGGGCCTGGACCGCGTGCTGCAGAATTAGAAAAGGCACAAATGGAGAATGAAAGGGAGAAACGTGCCAAGAGGAATACACGTCAAGCCAACCCCGACCGGGACCGCCTTCCACCTGGAAACCGATGTCTTCACTGCAGGAGAATATGCAGATCAAGAATAAGGCACCACAGTCACCTAGGGACCCACCGCCAGGACACAATGCTTGAGGGGCCATCATAGACAACTAAGGATCGCCTAAATAAGTAAGTATTACTACTATGACTACTAAAATTCTAGGTGGGACCCATAGGAGGACCATCATCCTCAGGCTAGGAGGGATCGCCTAACAACAACAATATATGTTTAACATATTCGTATTATATTACAATATAACAATATTATTATATTGTATTACTATAGGTATTACAGTATATAATGTAATATTATTATGAATATATGTATATACTATATAATTAGCCCAGCATTATATCAGTATTATATATGTACTATATGTACAATTATATATGTCCTATATGTACAATTATATATATCCTATATGTACAATAACAGCGTTAGATATGTACTATATGTGCAATTATATATATCCTATATGTTAAATTATATACGTACTATATGTACAAAATCAGTATTATATGTGTACTATCTGTACAATTATATATGTACTTTATGTACAATTATATATGTTCTATATGTACAATATTAGTATTATAAATGTACTATTATGTATAATTATATGTGTCCTATATGTACAATTATATATGCCCTATATGTACAAAATCAGTATTATATATGTACATAATCAGTATTATATATGTACAATATATACAATTATATATGTCCTATATGTAAAATATCAGTTTTACATATGTACTATATGTACAAATATATATGTCCTATATGTACAATTATATGTCTTATATGTACAATATTAGTATAATATACATCCTGTACATACAGTTATATATGACCTATATGTACAATTATATATGTCCTACATGTACAATATCAGTGTTATATATATATATAATGTATAATTATATATGTCCTATATATATAATTATATAGTCATATATGCACAATATCAGTGTGATATATATATATTCCTCACTTCACTTTATAATATACTATTATGTATAATTATATGTCCTATATGTACAATTATATATGTCCTATATGTACAATATCAGTGTTATATATATATATATATACTATTATGTATAATTATATATGTCCTATATATATAATTATGTATGTCCTATATGTACAATATCAGTGTTATATATATATATATACTATTATGTATAATTATATATGTCCTATATATATAATTATGTATGTCCTATATGTACAATATCAGTGTTATATATATACTATTATGTATAATTATATATGTCCTATATATATAATTATGTATGTCCTATATGTACAATATCAGTGTTATATATATACTATTATGTAGAATTATATATGTCCTATATATATAATTATGTATGTCCTATATGCACAATATCAGTGTTATATATATACTATTATGTATAATTATATATGTCCTATATATATAATTATGTATGTCCTATATGCACAATATCAGTGTTATATATATACTATTATGTATAATTATATATGTCCTATATGTACAATATCAGTGTTATATATATATCCCTCACTTCACTTTATAATATACTATTATGTATAATTATATATGTCCTATATGTACAATTATATACAATTATGTACAATATCAGTATTATATATGTCCTATATGTAAAATGAGTATTATATATGTTCTATGTATTTTACTATACCACTATACTGCTGTATTATTAGTAATATTACGCATAATAGACAATTATTATCTTATTATATACTATTATATTGTACTGTGTTAGTAAACCACAATTCCTATAAGACACTACAAGTGTACTATTAGTATTATAGAATATATTGTACTATATCATGAGCTGTAGCATATATATTACAACATTATTCATATTATATACAACATTATTGTAGTACATTACAATGTTATTACAATTCTGAGGAGAAATCTGTGGTCCAAGTTTCCCTCACTTCTTTTGGTCTAAGCCCAAGCCAGGCACCAATTCGAGAGCGCATGCGCAGTCTGAACAGCACTAGAATCCTCCGCTTTTAGAAGGCAGCGCGCATGCGCAGAAGGCGGAAAAGAAATCAGGAAAGGAAGGGCCATAAGGAAGCAAGCCTGCCCTTGTTGGAGACTCAATCTATTCGGCGGTAAGAGGAAAAGCCAAGTCAGGTAAAGCCCAAGAAAGGTCGAGAGATAAAGGGGAAGTAATAATAACCATAATAATGGGTTGTTGTAGGTTTTTTTCTGGCTATATGGCCATGTTCTAGAAGCACTCTCTCCTGACGTTTCGCCTGCATCTATGGCAAGCATCCTCAGAGGTAGTGAGGTCTGTTGGAACTAGGAAAAAGGGTTTGGAATGACCAGGGTGGGACAAAGGACTCTTGTCTGCTGGAGCTAGGTGTGAATGTTTCAACTGACCACCTTGAATGGCATATAATGGCCTTGTTAGAGACTGGGAATTTAGGGTGACAGGCCAGAAGCAGAGAGGAGGTGAGATTCCGATGAGGTTTTTCAACAAGGCTTTTATTTCAAGTTGGTCAACATGAGATGAATAGCCTTTGACCATTCCCGGTCAAAGAACAAAAACTATTCACCCTTAACAATGTTTTTAAAATCAAACTTGTAAAAACAACACGCAAGCAACTTCTGATTGGTTGTTCTGTTTCTAACATCACAGCATGAGCTGTGACTTATCTATCTGCAAGTTGATTATCCAAGGCAGAAAGAATTTGTGGGAGTAAAGGAGTTGCATCTGCTTGTGTCTGACTGAACAAGGAACACAGAGAATAATTATTCTTTCTCTATCAGCAGCAGCCCTTGGCAAGCAAGGTTTTCTCTATAGACAGGGATTCTGGGACTTGTAATAATTGGAAATTTATTTTTCTTAATCATGTTCCTATAGCCCGACAGTGACTGGAGCAAACTTTTGTTGAGAGGTGGTTAGATGTCCTTGATTGTTTCCTCTCTGTCGTTGTGCTGTTGCAATTTTAGAGTTTTTAAATACTGGTAGCCAGACTTTGTTCATTTTCATGGTTTCCTCCTTTCTGTTGAAATTGTCCACATGCTTGTGTATTTCAGTGTCTTCTCTGTGTAGTCTGACATGGTGGTTGTGAGAGTGGTCCAGCATTTCTGTGTTCTCAAATAATATGCTGTGTCCAGGTTGGTTCATCAGGTGCTCTGCTATGGCTGACTTCTCTGGTTGAAGTAGTCTGCAGTGCCTTCCATGTTCCTTGATTCGCATTTGGGCAATGCTGCTGCGTTTGGTGGTCCCTATGTTGACTTGTCCACAGCTGCATGGTACACGGTAGACTCCTGCAGAGGTGAGAGGATCCCTCTTGAACTTTGCTGAACATAGCATTTGTTGGATTTTCTTGGTAGTTCTGTAGATAGTTTGTATATTGTGTTCCCTCTGCGGTCAGTGGTTCCCTTGATGTCTGCCAGGAACACTTTTCCTCTGGGTGGATCTTCATCTTGACTCTCGTGGCTTGTTCTCAATCTTGCAGCTCTTCTGATGTCTGAGGTGGAGTCTCCATTGGCCTGGAGAGCCCAGTTGAGGTGGTTCAGTTCATCTTGAAGGAGGTGAGAAAATCAAATTTTTTGAGTGAAGGACATACATTGGGTTGTTAGGTGTCTTGTGTCCAAATTTGGTGTCAATTCATCCAATGGTTTTTGAGTTCTGTTAATCCCACAAACGAACATTACATTTTTATTCATATAGATGCCTTAATGATCTTTTGGAATACTACTTGCTTTCATGAACTTTTATCTTTTATTTTTCCATAAACTACAAAGACTTCAGTCTGTGTGCAGTTTTGATGATTTCAGCAAGGTGAATCTACTCTGAGGTGCGACAGTTTGCTCTGACCATCCTAAATCCTTGCTAACACCAGTCACCATGAGTCAAGCGGAGGTTCAGCAGTTGCAGCAACAGATTCAAGCGCTACAGGCACAAATCGCTGCTTTAACCCCTGTAGCAAAGATCCTGATGGCAATGCCAAACAAGTTCTCCGGGGAAGCCCAGCGGGTAAAAGACTTCGTGGGACAATGTGACGCCTTCATCAAGGTGCGAGTGGCAGAGTTCCCCAATGAAGCAGCGAAAGTGGCTTTCATCTACAGCCTGCTTGAAGGGCCTGCGCTGGCTTTGGCTACAGCATTGCGTGAGGCCAATGCTCCCGTGCTGGCCACCGCTAAGGAATTCATGGAACATTTGCGGTACACCTGGGGGGGCCGAGTGGCCAAGGAGGCGGCTGCAGCTGGGCTCGAACCGTCCCAGGATCAAAGCTGCAGAAAAGCCGAGGCAGCAGACCACAGGTTGCGGGCTCTGTCGCAGAAGGAGGGCCGGTTGGCCGAATACATTTCGGAGTTCCGCGCTTTGGCGCAGAAGCTCGCTTGGAACGATGCTGCCTTTATCAGTCACTTCAAGGCGGGACTCAGTTGGGAAATGCAGCTGGAGGTGGCTCGAGTGGCTGTCCCGGCCACCTTGGAAGAGCTGATTGAACTGTGTATCCAGCTGGATGGAGTTCTTACAACTCAGCGGCAACTTAGCCGTTATTTGGCTGAGCCGCTGGAGCGACCGGTGCCGTTGACTCCGCAGGCAACGGACAAGGAAGAGCCCATGAAGCTGGGCTCGACCCGTCCCAGGATCGATGCTGAGGAAAAGGCGAGGCGGCAGCAGCTGAATTTGTGTTGGTATTGCGGGGCGAGCGGACATTTCTCACGGGAGTGCCCTGCGAAGAGAAAGCCGGGGCCTCGGTTGGCGGCGGTTCCCGGGGCCCGGTGAAGAACCAGGCTGTTATGAGAACCGTGCTGAGGAGCCGGCGGGGGAAGGGAGCTGCCGAGGTTAGACGGGCTCGCTAACTCGGTCTCCTCTCCACCCCCAGAGCCTGCGACAGGAATGTCGTTCTTCATTTTGGTCTCGTTTTGTGCGGCGCAGAAGGCTCCTATGACGACACACGCGTTGGTAGACTGTGTAGTGACCAACAATTTTATCGATCACCGCTTTGCCAAGTTTTTGGGATTACAAAGTTGGGATTTACAACCTCCTCGGGATGTACGGGCGCCTTTTGAAGGCGGGACATGTGGCTTGTTGCACTGCGCCCGTACAAATGAGGGTAGGGGGTCATGTGGAAGAAATCTTCTTTCTGATCACGGAGATCCCCCACCCGGTTGTGTTGGGAATCCCTTGGTTGGCAAAACACAACCCTACGATTCTGTGGTCTCAATTTGAACTGCGTTTTACTTTGGCTTTTTGTAAGGAACATACAATGGGTTTTATTAAGTTTTGAAAAAATGAAGTTATGCTGCTGCACCCTGTATCTAATGCAATGTTATTATCAATATCATATGTATATACAATATATTATATTATTAGCCCATCACAATATCAGTATCATATATGTACTATATGAACAATTATATATGTACTACTAGCCATCCCTTGCCACGCGTTGCTGTGGCCCAGTTTGGTGATCTGGAAAATAAAGAGAAATTGTTGGTTTCTAATATATATAATTTCTTTATGCTTGTGTTGATGTAGGGATTGTCTGGTTGGCCTACTCTGGAACATGCAACATATAAATGTCCTTGTTTAGGGGTCTCTTTCACATCTATCATACTATGTATGTGTGTGTGTGTGAGTCATATCTATCTATCTATCTATCTATCATCTATATCTATGGCTGGATGGCTCTTTGTCAGAAGGGCTTTGATTATGTTTTCTTGCCCTGATGAAGGGAGTTGGATTGGATGGCCTTAAGTATTTTCTGTTAGTCATGGGGGTTCTGTGTGGGAGGTTTGCCCCGATTCTGTCGTTGGTGGGGTTCAGAATGCTGTTTGATTGTAGATGAACTATAAATCCCAGCAACTACAACTCCCAAATGTCAAAGTCTATTTCACCCAAACTACGTCTGTGTACATATTTGGGCATATGGAATATTTGTGCCAAGTTTGTTCCAGATCCATCATTGAGTCCACAGTGCTCTCTGGATGTAGGTGAACTACAACTCCCAAACTCAAGGTCAATGCTCACCAAACCCTTCTTGTGCTTTCTGTTGGTCATGGTTCAATTCCATTGTTGGTGGGGTTCAGAAGGCTCTTTGATTGTAGGTGAACTATAAATCCCAGCAGCTTAAACTCCCAAATTAGAAAATCAACTTTTTTGAGTGAAGGACATACATTGGAATATTAGGTGTCTTGTGTCCCAATTTGGTGTCAATTCGTCCAGTGGTTTTTGAGTTCTGTTAATCCCACAAATGAACATTACATCATTATTTATATAGATGTAATATTATTATCAGTATCATAGGTAAAAGTAAAGGTTGTCCTCTGACATTAAGTCCAGTCATGTCTGACTCTGGGGTGTGGTGCTCATCTCCATTTCTAAGCCGAAGAGCCAGCGTTGTCCATAGACACCTCCAAGGTCATGTGGCCAGCATGACCGCATGGAGCGCCCTTACCTTCCCGCCAGAGCGGTGCCTATTGATCTACTCACATTTGCATGTTTTCGAACTGCTAGGTTGGCAGAAGCTAGGGCTGACAGTGGAAGCTCACGCTGCTCCCTGGAATCGAACCTGCAACCTTTTGGTCAACAAGCTCAGCAGCTCAGCGCTTTAACCCACTGCGCCACTGGGGGGCCCTTTATCAGTATCATATGTATATACAATATATCATATTAGCCCAGCACAATATCAGTGTAATATATGTACTATATGTATATTTATATATTACTATATGCACAATATCAGTATTATAAATGTACTATATGTACAATACCAGTATTAGAATCATAGAATCAAAGAGTTGGAAGAGACCTTCATGGGCCATCCAGTCCAACCCCATTCTGCCAAGAAGCAGGAATATTGCATTCAAATCACCCCTGACAGATGGCCATCCAGCCTCTGTTTAAAATCCTCCATAGAAGGAGCCTCCACCACACTGCGGGGCAGAGAGTTCCACTGCTGAACGGCTCTCACAGTCAGGACGTTCTTCCTCATGTTCAGGTGGAATCTCCTCTCTTGTAGTTTGAAGCCATTTTTCCACATCCTAGTCTCCAAGGAAGCAGAAAACAAGCTTGCTCCCTCCTCCCTGTGGCTTCCTCTCACATATTTATACATGGCTATCATATCTCCTCTCAGCCTTCTCTTCTTCAGGCTAAACATGCCCAGCTCTTTAAGCCGCTCCTCATAGGGCTTGTTCTCCAGACCCTTGATCATTTTAGTTGCCCTCCTCTGGACACATTCCAGCTTAGAGTCAATATCTCTCTTGAATTGTGGTGCCCAGAATTGGACACAATATTCCAGGTGTGGTCTAGAATATTGTGTCCAATTCTGGGCACCACAATTCGAGATGTTGACAAGCTGGAATGTGTCCAGAGGAGGGCGACTCAAATGATCAAGAGTCTGGAGAACAAGCCCTATGAGGAGCGGCTTAGGGAACTGGGCAGGTTTAGCCTGAAGAATATATATTACAACATGATTCATATTATATACATTATTATTATTATTATTATTATTATTATTATTATTATTATTATTATTATTCCAATTCTGAGGGGAAATGCTGCCAATGTCAATCTGGAGTCCAAGTTTCCCTCATGTTTTTTTTTTCTCTCTTGAGGCGTGGAACACGTGACTAAGGCCAAGCCAGAAAGGAGCAACTCGAGGGCGCATGCGCAGTCTGAACCCCACTAGAACCCTCCGCCGGGCCGAAGCACGCTTTGGGAAGGAGGCAGCGCGCATGCGCAGAAGGAGGAAAAGAAAAAAAAGGAAAGGGCCATAATTTATCCCGCGGAAGGAAGCCTGCCCTTGTTGGGAGACTCAAGCTATTCCGCGGTAAGAGGAAAAGCCAAGTCAGGTAAAGCGTAAGAAAGGTCGGGAGACGGCGGAGGGATTACGAAGCAAAAAATAGGACGCTCGGTGATGCGGCTTATTTAGAGATTTAATCAAGGATGGGAGGGGGGAGTGAGAAATTTAGTGCGCGCATGCGCAGACGCGTCCTGGCAAAGGATGGGAGGAACGCGCCTCGCTCATTGGCCAGGTCGGGAGTGGGCGGGGCTATTGGGGGCTTCTGCTAGAGAAAGGGGGCGGGACCTTTTTCAGGCTCTGCTCTTCAATTTTTTTTTAAAGGGGAAGTACTCGCTCATTGGACAGGCTGGGAGTGGGCGGGGCTATGACGTAGCAGGCATTGGGGTTTCGGATATGGAAAGGGGGCGGGGCCTTTTTCTGGCCCCGCCTCTTCATTTTTTTTAAAGGGGAAGTAATCATAAATAATAATAATCAGGCACATCAATTCACTCTCAACAAGAGATTCCCCCCAGGCGCTTCCAGGCCATTGCATGCAAATCAAGGTGATCAGCTAAAACATTAGGTTCTTGTGGGTTTTTCGGGCTATAGGGTCATGTTCTAGAGTCATTTCTCCTGACGTTTCGCCTGCATCTATGGCAAGCATCCTCAGAGGTTGTGAGGTCTGTTGGAATTAGGACAATGGGTTTATATATCTGTGGAATGGCTGGGGTGGAGCAAAGAGCTCTTCTCTGCTGGAGCTAGGTGTGAATGTTTCAACTGACCACCTTCATTAGCATTTGAAGGCCTGGCTGAGCCTGGGAAAATCTTTTGTTGAGAGGTGTTAAGATGTGCCTGGTTGTTTCCTCTCTGCTGTTTTGCTGTTGTAATTTTAGAGTTTTTTAATACTGGTAGCCAGATTTTGTTCATTTTCATGGTCTCTTCCTTTCTGTTGAAATTGTCCACATGCTTGTGGATTTCGATGGCTTCTCTTTTGTTGAGCATATTATTTGAGAACACAGAAATGCTGGACCACTCTCACAACCACCATGTCAGACTACACAGAGAAGCCATTGAAATCCACAAGCATGTGGACAATTTCAACAGAAAGGGCGAAACGTCAGGAGAGAATGCCTCTAGAACATGGCCATATAGCCCGAAAAACCTACAACAACCCAGTGATTCCGGCCATGAAAGCCTTCGACAATACAATAATAATAATAATAATAATAATAATAATAATAATAATAATAATAAATTTTTATTTATACTCTGCCTCCATCTCCCCAAGGAGACTCAGGGCGGCTAACACGAGGCAAAGCTCCTGTGCTTTACTAATAATGTAATATAATATATTGTATATAATTATATATAATATTATAATGTAATGCAGATAAGGGTTTCACCCTGACACTAAGTCCAGTATAATAATAATAATTCTATAAAATATGATACTACAATAAAATAATATATAGTAATAATTATAGTTATGTAAGACTATTCGTAAAGGTAAAGGCTTTCCCCTGACATTAAGTCCAGTATAATAATAATAATAATACTATAAAATATAATAGTACTACAATAAAATAATATATAGTAATAATATATAATAATATAATTATATAATACTATTAGTAAAGGTAAAGGTTTCACCCTGACATTAAGTCCAGTATAATAATAATAATAATAATAATAATAATAATAATAATAATATAATACTACAATAAAATAATATGCAGTCATAATATATAATTATATAATACTATTCGTAAAGGTAAAGGCTTTCCCCCCTGACATTAAGTCCAGTATTATAATAATAATACTATAAAATATAATAATACTTCAATAAAGTAATATCTAGTAATAATATATAATTATATAATACTATTCGTAAAGGTAAAGGTTTCAACCTGACATTAAGTCTAGTATAATAATAATAATACTATAAAAATAATAATACAAAAATAATATATAGTAATAATATATAATTATATAATTATATAATACTAACGGCGCTCCATGCAGTCATGCCGGCCACATGACCTTGGAGGTGTCTATGGACAACGCTGGCTCTTCGGCTTAGAAATGGAGATGAGCACCACACCCCAGAGTCAGACATGACTGGACTTAATGTCAGAGGACAACCTTTACCTTATAACACTATTAGTAAAGGTACAGGTAAAGGTTTTCCCCTGACATTAAGTCCAGTATTATAATAATACTATAAAATATAATAATACTCCAATAAAAATAATATATAGTAATAATATATAATAATATAATTATATAATACTATTCGTAAAGGTAAAGGTTTTCCCCTGACATTAAGTCCAGTATAATAATATTACTATAAAATACAATAATACTACAATAAATTAATATGCAGTCATAATATATAATTATATAATACTATTCGTAAAGGTAAAGGTAAAAGTTTCCCCCTGACATTAAGTCCAGTATAATAATAATAATATAAAATATAATAATACTACAATAAAATAATATATAGTAATAATATATAATAATATTAAGTCCAGTATAATAATAATAATACTATAAAATATAATAATACTACAATAAAATAATATATAGTAATATATATAATAATATAATTATGTAATACTATTCGTTAAGATGAAAGTAAAGGTTTTCCTCTGACATTAAGTCCAGTCGTGTCTGACTCTGGCACTCATTTCCATTTCTGCGCCGAAGAGCCGGCATTGTCCGTAGACACCTCCAAGGTCATGTGGCCAACATGACTGCATGGAGCGCCCTTACTTTCTTGCCAGAGCTACTCACAATTGCATGTTTTTGAACTGCAAAGTTATCAGAAGCTGGGGCTAACAGCAGGAGCTCACCCTGCTCCCTGGATTCGAACCTGCGACCTTTCAGTCAACAAGCACAGCAGCTCAGCGATTTAACCCACTGTGCCAGTGGGGCTTCATAATGTAATACAATATAATACCAATAATAATAATAATAATACAATATTATAATTTTATATTTTATATTACGTGTAATATTATTAATAATATTACAATATAATGGTATAATACAATATAGTAATATATAATACTGATATTGTACTATGCTAATGATATAATATATTGTATGTATATATATCTTGTAAGCCGCTCTGAGTCCCCTTCGAGGTGAGAAGGGCGGGATATAAATGCCGTATATAAATAAATAAATAAATAAATAAATAAATAAATAAATAAATAAATGGGTGCTTAATTTGTGAAATCATAACGTAATTTGATGTTTAATAGGCTTTTCCTGAATCCCTCCTTATTATCCAATATTTTCGCTTATCCAATGTTCAGCTGGCCCATTTATGTTGGATAAGCCAGACTCTACTGTATATTGCGTAAACATATAATATTGATGATAATATTATAATGTAATACAATATCATACTACTAATAATACAGTTATATATATATATATATATATATACACACACACACACACACACACGCATGCACACCGTATTTTAAGTTGTGATGTTTTTGATTGTGAGCCTCTTTGAGTTCTCGGTATGGAGAGATAAAACAGGATACAAATCAATCAATCAATCAATCTCTAATATCTTTTTTCCTCAAAGGTGCAGTAGTTACTCCACAAGGCTTCATTTGAGCCTTTCACTGCCACTAAGGAAGAAATGGATCACCTCTCCCCGTTCAGCAGTAAGTGTTTTCCTCAGGGCGGATCACAATGCACATATTCATGGCAAACATTCAATGCCATAGACACACAACTCAGCAAAAGCTGCAGTTCAATATAAGCAAGTGTGTCTGTAGTTTAGGAGCTCTCAGTCTGAGAGATCCCTCAAAGTTAACAGACCTCAGTGAGAGAGGTCTCAGTGTGAGAGAAGCCTCTGGGCGAAAGGCCTCAGTGTGGGAGAGGCCTCAGTGGGAGAAAGGCCTCAATGTTAGTATTTAGACACACAACTCAACAAAAGCTGCAGTTCAATATAAGCAAGTGTGTCTGTAGTTTAGGAGCTTTCAGTCTGAGAGAGCCCTCAAAGTTACAGAACTCAGTGGGAGAGGCCTCAGTGTGAGAGAAGCCTCTGTGGGTTAAAGGCCTCAGTGTGTGAGAGACCACAGAGTGAGAGGGGCCTTAGTGGGAGAAAGGCCTCCATGTAGGATTTATTTATTTATTTATTTATTTATTTATTTATTTATTTGCAGCATTTATATTCCGCCCTCCTCATCCCACAGGGGACTCAGGGTGGATCACAATGCCCATATTCATGGCAAACATTCAATGCCACACACACACAACATATATAGATAGAGACACAGAGAGGCTATTTAACTTTCCAGCTTCATGAGGGCATGCTTTTTGAATTCTGACAACCAGGGGAACTGTCACTTCACCGTCCACTTGTGACAGCGATTGAGTACTTCCTCATTCTTTTGCACGCTGCTGGAGAATTTTATGGCATCGTAAATTAGTTAAATTAGCTTATGCGGGGAGGCTAATTTAACTAATTTACAATGCCATAAAACTCTCCAGCAGCATGCAAAATTTCCTACTTGATGCAACTGCCTTTCAGGCTGCAAAGGTCAACAGCAAGCTAGACAAATGGCCAGAAGCTCACTCTGACCCAGGCTGGCTTCTCGGTCAGTAGTGATTTTAATGCAGCTGATTCCCAACCAGCTGCGCCACATGATAAGAGTAAATTTCCCTTCTATGGAGAAGATTTCTCTTACTTCCTGTTGTCTCACCACCTTTCTTAACTATGAATCAGATGTATGTAACATGGAGACGGCCTGTACAAAAAGCTGCAGAGTGATCACACCTATAAAATGGCCGAGACACCAAAGGAAGCAGATATTTTGTAGCCTCCCCCCCCTCCCTTTGATAATGTCATATATTAAGTCTTTTCATTCTCTCTGCAAACTTATTGATTTCACAGACGACCCCTTTGACAAGCCGCCCTGCCGAGGCTGCTCCTCGTACCTTGTTGAACCGTATGTCAAATGTGCCGAATGTGGGCCGCCTCCCTTCTTTCTATGTTTGCAGGTAAAGTACACCTTTAAAATTGGGGTTATTGCTGCTGGAAGAGCATGTAACCAGGAGACCAAGTAACCAGGAAGATGGAGTTCCTGGGTAGCTGCTGACTCCATTATTATTATTATTATTATTATTATTATTACCAGCCATCCCCTGCCAGGCGTTGCTCTGGCCCAGTCTGTGTATATGTGTTTTCAGTGTGTACATATGTGTATATCTGTATATATATGGTTATGCTCATGCGTTGCAATGTATTTTTTTCAAAAAAAATTGGCTTTTAAATTCTCTTCTACTGTATTTTCAGTGTTTTTATGAGTGATGGTCACTTGTTGGCCTAATAGGTGTATTGTATCCAAATTTGGTGTAAATTCATCCAGTGGTTTTTGAGTTATGTTAATCCCACAAACAAACAGTAATATTATATAATAATAATAATAATAATAATAATAATAATAATAATAATAATTATTATTATTATTATTGTGTTGTCAAAGGCTTTCCTGACTGGAATCACTGGGTTGCTGTGCGTTTTCCAGGCTGTATGGCCATGTCCCAGAAGCATTCTCTCCTGCAGTTTCACCCACATCTATGGCAGGCACCCTCAGAATTTGTGAGGGCTGTGGGTCTGTGCAAGCTTCCTTTCTGCTGCCCTGGAGACTAGGACGCAGTGGAGCCATGGCTTCAAACTACAAGAAAGGAGATTCCACCTTTTTTTGTGTATGTTAGGAGCGACTTGACAAACTGCAAGTCGCTTCTGATGTGAGAGAATTGGCCGTCTGCAAGGACGTTGCCCAGGGGACGCCCAGATGATTTGATGTTCTTATCATCCTTGTGTGAGGGTTCTCTCATATCCCTGCATGAGGAGCTGGAGCTGATAGAGGGAGCTCATCCACCTCTCCCTGGATTTGAACCTGCGACCTGTCGGTCTTCAGTCCTGCCGGGACAGGAGTTTAACCCACTGCACCACCGGGGGCTCCACCTGAGCATTAGGAAGAACTTCCTGATTGTGAGAGAGAGCTGTTCAACAGTGGAACTCTCTGCCCGGAGTGTGGTGGAGGCTTCTTCTATGGAGGCTTTTAAACAGAGGCTGGATGGCCATCTGTCGGGGGTGCTTTGAATGCAATTTTCCTGCTTCTTGGCAGAATGGGGTTGGACTGGATGGCCCACGGGGTCTCTTCCACCTCTATGATTCTATGATTCTATGGAAGGCTTTAATTCAAAAGCATACATTAGGGAACACAACAAAGTTCCAACTGGTGGTTTATTTCCCTCAAGCCTCACCCTGGCCCCTCCCCTGCATTGCCCCGGAATGTGGTGGGGGCTCCTCCTTTGGAGGCAGGATGGCCATCTGTCAGGGGTGCCCCAGAATTGGTGGAGGCTCCTTCTATGGAGGCTTTTAAATAGAGGCTGGATGGCCATCTGTCGGGGGTGCTTTGAATGTGATTGTCCTGCTTCTTGGCAGAATGGGGTTGGACTGGATGGTCCACGAAGTCTCTTATGATTCTATGGAAGGCTTTAATTCAAAAGCATACATTAGGGAACACAACAAAGTTCCAACTGACAGTTTATTTCCCTCAAGCCTCACCCTGGCCCCTCCCCTGCATTGCTCCCATTTCCATGGCAACCCGCTCCCAGATTTGAAATATACACAGGAAAGGTCTATAATTCTAGTTAAGTGAAAATCCCTCATGAAAGGATAGACTGTAATCCTCTTATTTCACCTTCCTGTCAAATAGGGGCTGCTAATCATAGGCATCTTAAGTTCCCCCTTTACGCTTTTTCCTTTACCTTGTCCGTACAAAATCCATGATTTTAGCCCATGGAAAGGAAGACGATGGAGAGTAACGGTTGCTCGTTCTTCTCGTTTTGCAGTGCTTCACAAGAGGATTTGAGTACAAGAAGCACCAGAGCAACCACACCTATGAGATAATGGTAAACATACAATTTTTGTTATCTTTCTTTCTTCTTTTTTTGCCGCCAAAAAACCTCTTTTTATTGGCAAGACAAAATGCATGAAAAATATTCTACAAGATTTAAGAGCTAAAAACCGAGCACGAGGAGAAAATAGCGATATTAGAGTCAGGGGTCTACATTTTGACTCTGTTTCCATATTTATAGTCTAAACAAGGGATACCAATGCGAGTAAAGACTCTCAATGGAAAAACATTTCTTTAACTTTTTTACATTGATAACTCAAGCCATACAATTCACCATTCCGGACACAAGGTGGCAGGAAAGGTATAACAAATGCATATACAATAGCGGTTCTCAACCTGGGGCTCGGGATTGGTGGTGGGGGTCACCAAATACTATCAGAAAACACAGTATTTAATGTTACTCCGGGGGGGGTTCTGTGTGGGAAGTTTGGCCCAATTCTATCGTTGGTGGGTTCAGAATGCCCTTTGATAAATACCAGCAACTACAACTCCCAAATTTCAAGGTCTATCTTTCCCAAACTCCACCAGTGTTCACATTTGGGAATATTGAGTACTCATGCCAAGTTCGGCCCAGATCCATCACTGTTTGAGTCCATTGCTCTCCCTGGATGTATCTGAACTACAACTCCCAAATCCAAGGTCAATGTCCACAAACCCTTCCAGTATTTTCTGTTGTAGGTGAACTATAAATCCCAGTAACTACAACTCCTAAATGTCAAGGTCTGTTTACCCCAAACTCCACCAGTGTTCACATCTGGGCATATGGAGTTTGGTCCAGATCTATCATTATTTGAGTCCACAGTGCTCCCTGGATGTAGGTGAACTACAACTCCAATACTCAAGGCCAATGTCCATCAAACCCTTCCAGTATTTTTGTTAGTCATAGGAGTTCTGTATGCCAAGTTTGGTTCAATTCCATCATTGGTGGAGTCCAGAATGCTCTTTGGTTGTAGGTGAACTATAAATCCCAGTAACTACAACTCCTAAATGTCAAGGTCTCCCCCCCCCCCCCCCCCACAAACTCCACCAGTGTTCACATCTGGGCATATTGAGTATTCATGCCAAGTTTGGTCCAGATCTATCATTATTTGAGTCCACAGTGCTCTCTGGATGTAGGTGAACTGCAACTCCAAAACTCAAGGGCAATGCTCAACTGCAACTCCAAAACTCAAGGCCAGTGTCCATCAAATCCTTCCAATATTTTTGTTAATCATAGGAGTTCTTTATGCCAAGTTTGGTTTAATTCCATCATCGGTGGAATTCAGAATGTTCTTTGATTGTAGGTGAACTATAAATCTCAGCAACTACGACTCCCAAATGTCAAGGTCTATTTTCCCCAAATGCCACCAGTGGTCACATATGGGCATATTGAGTATTCATGCCAAGTTTGGTCCAGATCTATCATTGTTTGAGTCCATAGTGCTCCCTGGATGTAGATGAACTACAACTCCCAAACTCATAGGAGTTCTGTATGCCAAGTTTGGTTTAATTCCATCGTCGATGGAGTTCAGAATGCTCTTTGATTGTAGGTGAACTATAAATCCCAGCAACTACGTCTCCCAAATCTCTAGGTCAATTTCCCCTGAACTCCACCAGTGTTTACATTTGGGCATATTGAGTATTCGTGCCGAGTTTGGTCCAAATCTTTCATTGTTTGAGTCCACAGTGCTCTCTAGACGTAGGTGAACTACAGCTCCAAAACTCAAGGCCAGTGTCCATCAAACCCTTCCAGTATTTTTGTTAGTCATGGGAGTTCCATGTTCCAAGATTGGTTCAATTCCTTTGCTGGTGAAGTTCAGAATGTTCTTTGATTGTAGGTGAACTGTACATCCCAGCAACTACAACTCCCAAATGTCAAGGTCAATTTCACCTGAACTCCACCAGTGTTCACATTTGGGCATATTGAGTATTCGTGCCAAGTTTGGTCCAGATCTATCATTGTTTGAATCCACAGTGCTCTCTGGATGTAGGTGAACTACAACTCCCAAACTCAAGGAAAACCCTTCCAGTATTTTTTTGTTAGTCATAGGAGTTCTGTAAGGGCAAGATGGATAGATGGGATCCTTGAAGTGACTGGATTGACCTTGAAGGAGCTGGGGGTGGGGACGGCTGACAGGGAGCTCTGGCGTGGGTTGGTCCATGAGGTCACGAAGAGTCGGAAACGACTGAACGAATGAACAACAAGGAGTTCTGTGTGCCGAGTTTGGTTTAATTCCATCGTCGGTGGAGTTCAGAATGCTTTTTGATTGTAGGCTATAAATCCCAGCAACTATAACTCCCAAATGTCAAAATCAATTCCCTCCAACCCCCAATTTGTGCCAAATTTGGTCCAGTGAATGAAAATCCATCCTGCATATCGGATATTTACATGACGATTCATAACAAAATGACAGTGATGAAGTAGCAACGAAAACAATGTTCTGGTTGGGGGTCACCACAACATGAGGAGCTGTATTAAGGGGTTGCGGCATTAGGAAAGTTGAGAAACACTGACCTAGAGATTCCTGACGTACCATTGAGTGCAGTCTATTGCAAACTCAATGCCTTTCCGTGCTTTGCTCCCCTCTCAGACCTCCAACTTCCCAGTCCTGGATCCTACCTGGACGGCTCAAGAGGAAATGGCCCTTCTGGAAGCTGTCATGGATTGTGGCTTTGGAAACTGGTGAGAAGACCTCATTGACCAACCACTGGGGTTGGTTTGGAGAGCGTCTCCGTTTCATGGAATGGGACGTCATATCCTATTGGCGCAGGTCAATGTGTAAACGGTACCCTTTCCCGTTCTCTTTTCCAGGCAAGATGTAGCCAACCAGATGAGCACCAAGACCAAAGAGGACTGTGAGAGGCACTACATGAAACACTTCATCAACAACCCCCTCTTTGCCTCCTCGTTACTGAACCTGAAAGAGGCCGAGGAGAATCCCCAGGCCGAGGCGGCCATCCCGTTTCTCTGTGAGCGTCCGTCAGACAAGTTTTTCCTGGACTAATAGAGATTTGGGGCCCGATTTGCCACACTTCCCACCCCCCTTGGCTTGAGATCCTTGACCACATAGCTTTTTGAGATGGGCAGAGGCTCAGCTAGAAACTCCAGAGGTACCCGTTTCTGATCTGTTGTTTTCTTCCAGCTTCTGAAGACCCCCCGCGGCCCACCTTTGATTCCTTGCTCTCTAGAGATATGGCCGGATACATGCCAGCAAGGGCAGACTTCATTGAGGTAGGAGTCCCCTTGGAACCGAGGGCGGGTTTTGGAACGAAAAAGGGTGGATTTAGAAGGGAATCTCTGTCTCCTTCGGGAGGGAACCAACAGAAAAAGAATCCTAATACAGTGTTTCTTCCAGACTTGCGTACCTCTAGCCTTTGCTGTACGACAATTTGAAAACCAAAGGGCTTGTACAAAGCTCTCTCTGTTATTTTACCACCTTCCTCCTTTCTATTGGTTTATATCATGGTTCTGGAGTGTTATATCTCAGTTCTGGAGTATTATATCACATTCTGAAGTGTTATATTCTGGTTCTATAGTATTATATCGTGGTTCTGGAGTATTATATCATGGTTCTGAAGTGTTATATTGTGGTTATGTATTATATCATGGTTATGGAGTATTATATCACAGTTCCGAAGTGTTATATCACGGTTCTGGAGTATTATATCATGGTTCTGGAGTATGATATCATGGTTCTGAAGTGTTATATCGCAGTTCTGGAGTATTATATGACAGCTCTGGAGTATTATATTCCAGTTCTGTAGTATTATATCACAGTTCTGGAGTATTATATCACGGTTCTGGAGTATTATATCATGGTTCTGGAGTATTACATCACAGTTCTGGAATATTATACCATGGTTCTGAAGTATTATATCACAGTTCTGAAGTGTTATATAGTAGTTCTGGAGTATTATATGACAGCTCCAGAGTACTATATTGCAGTTCTGTAGTATTATATCACAGTTCTGGAGTATTATCTCATGGTTCTGGAGTATTATCATGGTTCTGAAGTGTTATATCGCAGTTCTGGAGTATTAAATCACAGTTCTGGAGTATAATATCATGGTTCTGGAGTATTATATCATGGTTCTGGAGTATTATATCACGTTCGGAAGCGTTATATTGCAGTTCTGGAGTACTATATCACGGTTCTGGAGTATTATTTTGCATTCTGGAGTATTATAACACAGTTCTAGAGTCGCCCTAGGGCTGAGAGCGGCGGTCAATAAATGCAGTAAATAAATAAATGCAGTAAATTATGTCATGGTTCTGGAGTATTGTATCACAGTTCTGTAGTATTATCTCACTGTTCTGTAGTATTATATCACAGTTCTGGAGTATTATATCATGGTTCTGGAGTATTATATCACGGTTCTGGAGTGTTATATCACGGATCTGGAGTATTATATCACGGTTCTGAAGTGTTATATTCCGGTTCTGGAGTATTATATCACGGTTCTGGAGTATTATATCATGGTTTGGAATATTATATCATGGTTCTGGGGTATTATATCATAATTGTGTAATATTATATCACGGTTCTAAAGTCTTATGTCACAGTTCTGGGGTGTGTGTGTGTGTGTATGGCAAACATTGAATGTCATCCGCCCCGAATCCTCTCAGGGCGATAGAACGCACTATAAATAATTATTTATATTATGATGATGATGATTATTATATTATAATTATTCACCAGCGTCCTTCTCTTCTCTTCCCCCCTCCCTGTTTTTTTAAAAAGGAATTTGACAATTACGCCGAATGGGATTTAAGGGATATAGATTTTGTGGAGGACGACTCAGACCTTTTGCATGGTGAGTTTGAATTGTTGTTGAGCATATGTCCCTGTCTGTTTCCCCCGAAAATGTTCCTTAGCCATGATTGTTGCAGTCCTTGTTTGGGGATGAAACAACCATTTCTGAACATTGTCATCGCTCGCTATTTTCAAAACACTGTTCTTCTTTGGGGGATTTTTTCCGCAAAAATTGCAGTTTTAGTCCCCTTTCCTCTTGTGCTTTTGAAGGAAGCCTTTCAGTTTAGGGCAAGTTCTCCAAAAGCAATTCACAACACACTTAACTTCCAAAAGGAATCATTTAGCACATCATCACATGTTGCTCATGGGCCATCATTGTGATGGCTGCATATCACATTCAGGGTCAAACGGAGCATTTTCCCCTGCCATGGCTCCTATGCTATGTATCTGGAGAGGAACATCCTTTCCCTTTACTGTAGCTTGGAATGGGACCTCTCTCTAATCTCTCAGAACGAGGCATATACGGGTCCTTTCCTTGCTGCAATGGGAAGAGATTGCTTTTTGGAAAGGCATGAGAGATCCTAACCTTTTGGGAAACCAGGGATCTCCTGGAAACGTGACCCTTTCGAAGATTAGATGGCATTCACACTACAGTGCTCCCTCGCTACTTTGCGGTTCGCTTTTTGCAGACTCGCTGCTTCGTGGGTTTTTGCCTCCCAGTTTGCCGTCGCCCAGAGCAGCGTTCCAATCCAGTATTTTCTGTTGGTCCTGGGGTTTCTGTGTGCCTAATTCTATCATTGGTGGGGTTCAGAATGCTCTTTGATTGTAGGTGAACTATAAATCCCAGCAATTACAACTCCCAAATGTCAAGGTCTATTTTCCCCAACTCCACCAGTGTTCTTATTTGGCCATACTGGGAATTCGTACCAAGTTTGGTCCTGATCCATCATTGTTTGAGTCCACAATGCTCTCTGGATGTAGGGGAACTACAACTCCAAAATTCAAGGTCAATGCTCACCAAACCCTTCCAGTATTTTCTGCGGGTTGTGGGAGTTTTGTGTGCCAAGTCTGCTTCAAATCAATTGTTGGTGGAGTTCAGAATGCTCTTTGATTGTAGGTGAACTATAAATCCCAGCAACTACAACTCCCAAATATCAAGGTCTATTTTCCCCCAACTCCACCAGTGTTCACATTTGGGCACTTTGAGTATCCGTGCCAAGTTTGGTCCAGAGCCATCATTGTTTGAGACCACAGTACTCTCTGGATGTAGAGGAACTACAACTCCAAAATTCAAGTTCAATGCTCACCAAACCCTTCCAGTATTTTCTGCGGGTTGTGGGAGTTTTGTGTGCCAAGTCTGGTTCAAATCCTTTGTTGGTGGAGTTCAGAATGCTCTTTGATTGTAGGTGAACTATAAATCCCAGCAATTACAGCTCCCAAATGTCAAGGTCTATTTTCCCCAACTCCACCAGTGTTCACATTTGGGCACATTGAATTTTCTGTGCAAAGTTTGGTCCAGATCCATCATTGTTTGAGTCTACAGTGCTCTCTGGATGTAGGGGAACTACAACTCCAAAATTCAAGGTCAATGCTCACCAAACCCTTCCAGTATTTTCTGTTGGTTGTGGGAGTTTTGTGTGCCAAGTCTGGTTCAAATCCATTGTTGGTGGAGTTCAGAATGCTCTTTGATTGTAGGTGAACTATAAATCCCAGCAACTACAACTCCCAACTGGCAAAATCAATTTTTTTGAGTGAAGAACATACATCCCAGCAACGACAACTCCCAAATATCAAGGTCTATTTCCCCCAACTCCATGAGTGTTCACATTTGGGCACATTGAGTATTCGTGCCAAGTTTGGTCCAGATCCATCATTCTTTGAGTCCACAGTGCTCTCTGGATGTAGGAGAACTACAACTCCAAAATTCAAGGTCAATGCCAGTATTTTCTGTGGGTTGTGGGAGTCCTGTGTGCCAAGTCTGGTTCAAATCAATTGTTGGTGGAGTTCAGAATGCTCTTTGATCTTGTACCTAGTATAGGAGGCTTGTAGAAAGTGGATATTTCCAACATTCATGTTGTGGGGATTTGTGAAAGGCTCGTTTGTGACATTCGAAACGAATCATTTGCCTCTCTGCTCTCTTCCCAAACTTCCACAGCTTTGAAGATTGCAGTGGTGGATATATACCACTCGAGGTTAAAGGAAAGGCAGCGAAGGAAAAAGTAAGTTGTTTTCACATCCTCTCCGTGTTTGTCCAACTTCATGGGGTTTGGCCTAGTTTTAGTTCTGACACATTTGTGTAACCACTTGCTATGTGGTGTTGTGCGCTTTCCCATGAGGCTAAAACTAAGGGTTGCTTGGCCAGTCCGTAAGGAGGGCATTCTGCAGTTTTCCAAGGCATTTGTGGGATACAGTGTTCCCTCACTTATCACGGGTGTTACGTTCCAGGACCACCCGCGAAAAGTGAAAATCCGCGAAGTAGGAACGCTCTCTCTCTATATATATACATATATATATATATCACATTTCGAGGGTGAGGCAGAAGTGAGGAGAGAATTAAAGGCACCACACACTTTTTTTTGCTCTCTATAAGGAAGAGGCTATAAGGCCATGATTGACATACTGCTTTGTAACTCCTCTCTCTCTCGATTGGCTGCCTCTTTTTTTTAACGAATTTTTATTTTTACAATACAAAAAATACATACCATGCACACACAAAACATTTACAATTCCCACCACCAACACGAGGATTGCTTTCTATCACATACTCATTTCTTTTTGAGACAATCATTATTTCTTTATCTTTATACATTTCCATCCTGTATACTATATACCATTTGTAGCTTATTTCTTATGGCTTGATCTCCGGAATGATTCCTAATATAGTTCTTTACCCTTGTCCATCTATCTTCCATTTCTCTCATTGATTTTTAAATCATTTAATTTCACATTCATAGTTTCAAATTCCATTTGCTCCATCATATATTGGTACCTTTTATTTACTGTCCATTTTGATTTATCCTTCCGCCCTAATACTATTACTGCTTGTGCACATTCTATTATTGCTTCTTTTATTTCACTTTTATTTCCCTAATACCGCCATTTCCTTTGTTATGATCCACTCATTTCCTAGTATTGGCTGCTTCTCTCCCGAGGGGGAGGTGAAACCCCCTTCCACACTCCACCGTTGCCAGGAGGCGGGATGGGAATGCCACTCTGGGCAATGGCAACCATTCATAAACTGGAGACAAAAACCTGCAAAACAGCAAATCCGCGAAAAGTGAACCGCGAAGTAGCAAGGGAACACTGTATTTGTCCCCCAGTGGCGCAGTGGGTTAAACCCCTGTGCCGGCAGGACTGAAGACCGATAGGTCGCAGGTTCGAATCCGGGGAGAGGCAGATGAGCTCCCTCTGTCAGCTCCAGCTCTTCATGCGGGGACATGAGAGAAGCCTCCCACAAGGATGATAAAAACATCAAATCATCTGGGCGTCCCCTGGGCAACGTCCTTGCAGACGGCCAATTCTCTCACAACAGAAGCGACTTGCAGTTTCTCAGGTCGTTCCTGACACGACAAAAAACAAACAAACTGTATTTGTCTTAATTGCAGAATCATCAGAGACCACGGGCTCATCAACCTCCGAAAATTCCAGAGTGAGTAACTCAGATGAGTCTGAAAAATTCCTACTATGCACAATGCTCACCATTTAAACTCCATTCATTTCTATGTATATTTTATCATTTTAAATTAAATAGTCATTAAAAATGAAACAAATCTATCTATCTATCTATCTATCTATCTATCTATCTATATGGACCAGTACATACAGACTAACATTCTCTTCATTCTAATATGTTACTGAACATTGACTCCACACGGACTAACTACACACTGCAGCATACTGACACTACCGACTTCAAAACTGTACTGCAAAAATTGACATCTAAAAATGGAGTCTCAATCTGGATAGTCCCAGATCTGTTCACAGGGTCTGCAATCCCTCCCACAACCTTAAACAACATAGAGTTAAGGGGAAGCTGCATATAAAAATATACATACAAGATAGATAGTAAGCAATTGGGAGCCCCCGGTTTCGCAGTGCTGAGCTGCTGAGCTTGTTGACCGAAAGGTCGCAGGTTTGATTCCAGAGAGCGGCGTGAGCTTCCGCTGTCAGTCCTAGCTTCTGCCAACCTAGCAGTTCAAAAACATGCAAATGTGAGTAGATCAATAGGTACCGCTCCGGCAGGAAGGTTAGGGCACTCCATGCAGTCATGCCAGCCACATGACCTTGGAGGTGTCTACGGACAACGCCAACTCTTCAGCTTAGAAATGGAGATGAGCACTACCCCCCAGAGTCAGACATGACTCGACTTAATGTCAGGGGACAACCTTTACCTTTTAGTAAGCAATCTGAATTGTATACGTAACAAATCTATATAAATAAAAATGTAATGTTCGTTTGTGAGACTAACATAACTCAAAATCCATAACAAATCTATATAATCTATCTATATAAATCTATATGGAGCAGTACAATACTACCTAACATCTATGCAATACTTATATTTGACTATGCAAGCACTGCATAGATATTAGAGATCAACAAAGACCATCAGAAAACACAGTATTTTCTCTTGGTCATGGGTGTTCTGTGTTCATGGGGGCTGCTGGGAGTTGTAGTCCAAGAATAGGTAGAGAAGGAAGAAAGAGAAGAAAGAGGAAAGGAAAGAAAAGGGGGGAAGGAAGGGAAGAGGAAGGAAGAAAGGAGAGAAGGAAAGAAAAATAGGGAAGGAAGGAGAGAAAGGAGGAGAGAATGAGGGAGAGAAAGTTATACACACACAAAACACATATACACAGACTGGGCCACAGCAACACGTGGCAGGGGAGGGCTAGTCTATATAACCTGTACCCATTACATTGGCCCGGCCCTGTTTTCTTGTGTTTTTGGTGTATTGTTTTACTGTTTTGTTGTTTTGATATTGTTTTAATTGCTTTGATTTGCTTTAAGTTGTGTATTTTGTTATGCTATGTTTTTATTGAGGCCTTGGCCTGTGTAAGCCGCATCGAGTCCTTTGGGTGATGATAGTTAATAATAATAATAATAATAATAATAATAATAATAATAATAATAATAATTAAAATGTAGTGTTTGTTTGTGGGATTAACATAACTCAAAAACCACTGAGCGAATTGACACCAAATTTGGCCACAATACACCAATCAGGCCAACGAGTGACCATCACTCATCAAAACATGGAAAAACACAGCAAAAGGGTCTTAAAAAGCCAAAAAATAATAAAAATACATTACAATGCATGCACAAAACCACATATATATGCGCAAACACACATATATACACATATACCCAAATATAGACACGCACATATACACACACAAAACAGATATACACAGACTGGGCCACAGCAATTTGCGGCAGTGGACGGCTAGTAATCTATATAAATAAAAATGTAATGTTCGTTTGTGGGATTAACATAACTCAAAAACCACTAGATGAACTGACACCAAATTTGGACACAATACACATATCAAGCCAACGAGTGACCATCACTCATCAAAACATGGAAAAACACAGCAAAAGGGTCTTAAAAAGCCAAAAAATAATAATAAATACATTACAATGCATGCACAAAACCACATATATATGCGCAAACACACATATATACAGATATACCCAAATATACACACGCACATATACACACACAAAACAGATATACACAGACTGGGCCACAGCAATTTGCGGCAGTGGACGGCTAGTAATCTATATAAATAAAAATGTAATGTTCGTTTGTGGGATTAACATAACTCAAAAACCACTAGACGAACTGACACCAAATTTGGATGCAAGACACTGATCAGGCCAGTGAGTGACCATCACTCATAAAAACACTGAAAAACACAACAGAGGCACTTATTTATTTATTTATTTATTATTTAAACTTATATGCCGCCACTCCCCTGGGGCTCGGAGCGGCTTACAAGAATAGCTAAAATCTAACAAAGTTTAAAAGCAATTTAAAACAATTTAAAAACAACAGTATCAAACATTAAAAGCCTGTCGGAACAGGTATGTCTTACACGCCCTGCGGAAAGCTGGTAAGTCCCGCAGGGCACGAACTTCAGGTGGCAGAGTATTCCAGACTGATGGCACCACTGCTGTGAAGGCTCTGCGTCTGGTTGCCGCTAGACGGAAGGTCTTGACACTGGGGACCTCCAATAGATCTTGGTCCTCAGAACGGAGGGATCTCTGGGGTTGGTAGGGGGTGAGACGATCCCTCAGATACATTGGCCCCAGACCATGCAAGCCAAAAAACAAAAAATACATTGCAACGCATGCCCAAATCCACCCAACCACACACACACACACACACACACATATACACATATTCACAAATATATATACACACATATACACACACAAAACACATATACACAGACTGGGCCTCAGCAACGTGCGGCAGGGGATGGCTAGTCTATATAAATATGAATGTGATGTTCATTTGTGGGATTAACATAACTCAAAAACCACTGGGCAAACTGACACCAAATTTGGACACAATACACCTATCAGGCCAACGAGTGACCATCACTCATAAAAACACAGAAAAACACAGCGGAAGAGACTTAAAAAACCAAAAAGACATTACAGCGCATGCGCAAAAACGACTCCCTGACCCTGCCCCCCTCCATTTCTACTTGGGCCAAGTGTGGATGTTGCAGTTGTCCACCTGGATTACCTTTGAATAGCCTTGCACCTTAAAAGCCTGGCTTCTATCAGCCAGAAGGAAACCTTTGGTGGGAGGAGTTCCCTAGCCTGGATTGTTTCATGTCTGGAAATCTTCTGTTTCCTGAGGGCCACAATAACACATGGCCGGGTACAGCTAGTAAACCTGACCGGGGTATAGGGTGGCAACCTGTGCTGGACGGGGTTACACTCCCCCTGAAGTCACAGGTCCACAGTTTGGGAGTCCTCCTGGATTCATCGCTTACGCTCGAGGCTCAGGCTCAGGTGCGCCAACTGCGACCGTACCTCACAAAGGTTGATTTGGCCGGGGTGGTCCATGCCTTGGTCACCTCTGGATTGGACTACTGCAATGCGCTCTACGTGGGGCTGCCCTTTGAAAACGGCTCGGAAATTCCAGCTGGTCCAACGGGCAGCGGCCAGGATGTTAACTAGTGCTCCTTACAGAGAGAGGTCAACCCTCCTGTTCAAGGAGCTCCACTGGCTGCCGTTTATCTTCCAAGTCCACTTTAAGGTGCAGATGCTTACCTACAAAGCCCTAAACGGTTTGGGACCATCCTACCTGCGTGACCGCATCTCTGTTTATGAACCCACGCGTCCGCTTCGTTCATCCGGAGAGGCCCTGCTCGTGATTCCGCCTGCGTTGCAGGCGCGTTTGGTGGGGACACAATACAGGGCCTTTTCTGTGATGGCCCCCCGACTCTGGAACACCCTCCCCAAAGATCTTAGACAGGCCCCTACATTGGCAATCTTCAGAAAGAACCTGAAGACCTGGCTGTTCCGATGTGCCTTTCCAGAATAGGAATCTACAATAACAAGTCCCAGAAGCATTTTATTAGAATTAAAATCTGCCGTACACTGCACATTGCACTTACCCTATAATCCTTATATATCACCTGTCATATCAGCACTTTTAATTCTGTACCCACTACTCTGGCCCGGCCCGTTTTACTGTGTCTTGGTGTATTGTTTATTGTTTGTTGTTTAATATTGCTTTAATTGTTTTTAATATGCTTTAGGTTTTGTATTGTTATGTTGTGTATTGAGGCCTTGGCCTTTGTAAGCCGCATCGAGTCCTTCGGGAGATGCTAGCGGGGTACAAATAAAGATAATAATAATAATAATAATAATAATAATAATAATAATAGAGTAAATAAATGCATGTGAGGGAAATAGGAATGGTTAACAGTGTAGGATTTCAACAGCTCCTGCCTGACCTTAGCATAGATTCATACAGAAGGAGGCGGACTCTGAAATTACATTCATTCATGTCGTCTCCTTGAATCTCTACGGCGTTTTCACTGTCTCATGCCTTGTAGTTCTAGAAAGAAGATACCCAAAGGAGGTTCAAGATCTGTATGAGACAATGAGGCGCTTTGCAAGGATCCTGGGACCGACGGAGCACGACAAATTCATAGAAAGCCACGCATGTAAGCATCTCCCGGGCATGTATGTGTGTGTGTCTCTCTCTCCGTTGTGTTTCCTGTGAAATGCACACATATGGGTCTCCTGCACCAGGTTGATGGTGAAGGCAGCAAATAGAACAGGATGGGTGCCTTTTTTTATCAAGTTAGCATCTGTCTGTGGAGGAGGAAGCAAGCTTTGTCGCTGCACCCGGCTCTTAATCCGGGACGAGTGGGTGTATAAAAGAAGCGCCATTTCCATCTCTATAGAATGACTAACAAAACATTCAGATGTCTGCCTTCAGAGGTGGCAACTCAAGAGTTTTGCTTCAAAACCGTAGCACTTCCTGTTGCATGAGTCATTCTAATGAGATATATATGTATTGTCGAAGGCTTTCATAGCTGGAGTAACTGCGTTGTAGGTTTTTCGGGCTGTAGCATCCCTACTTCGCTGATTTTCCCTACTTCGCGGATTTTCACTTTTCGCCGGTGGTCCTGGAATGTAATACATATATATCTCTAGGTTGTTGTAGGTTTTTCGGGCTGTAGCATCCCTATTTCGCGGATTTTCCCTACTTCACGGATTTTCACTTTTCGCGGGTGGTCCTGGAACGTAATACATATATATCTCTGGGTTGTTGTAGGTTTTTCTGGCTGTAGCATCCCTACTTTGCAGATTTTCCCTACTTTGCGGATTTTCACTTTTTTCTCCGGTGGTCCTGGAACGTAATACATATATATCTCTGGGTTGTTGTAGGTTTTTCGGGCTGTATGGCCATGTTCTAGAAGCATTCTCTCCTGACATTTCATCTGCGTCTGTGGCAAGCATCCTCTGAGGAGTGAGGGAGGGAGCACTGGGAACACTGTACTTCAAGTTTAGGTTAGAAAAGTAGAGATGAGATAGACAGACAGACCACTAATAATAATAATAATAATAATAATAATAATAATAATAATAATAAATCCCAAGTGACAGCAGGATTGAAGAGAAACAACTGGAAAAGTATTTAAATTTGTGTGTATTGGGTATTTGTGCCAAATTTGGTCCAGTGAATGAAAATCCATCCTGCATATCAGATATTTACGGGACGATTCATGATGAAGTAGCAATGAAAATAATATTATTCTTGGGGGTCACCACAACATGAGGAACTGTATTCAGGAGTTGCGGCATCAGTAAGGTTGAGAATCACTGGTGTAGATGGACCCTTAGCCAACTACTGATAGAGATATCAGAATTTAGGATTCTTCGAAAATCAACCTAGATGGAGGTGGAGGTGTGATGGAGGCTCCACCTGAACATTAGGAAGAACTTCCTAACAGTGAGAGCTGATTAGCAGTGGAACTCCCTGCCCCGGAGTGTAGTGGAGCTCCTTCTTTGGAGGCTTTGAAACGGAGGCTGGATGGTCATCTGTCAGGGATGCTTTGAATGCGATTTTCCTGCTTCTTGGCTGAATGGGGTTGGACTGGATGGCCCACAAGGTCCCTTCCAATGCAGGGGAGGGGCCAGGATGAGGGAAATAAACCGTCAGTTGGAACTTTGAGCATTCCCTAATGTATGCTTTTGAATTAAAGCCTTCCATAGACTCTATGATTCTATGAGTCTATGGAAGGCTTTAATTCAAAAGCATACATTAGGGAATGCAACAAAGTTCCAACTGACGGTTTATTTCCCTCATCCTGGCCCCTCCCCTGCATTGCTCCCGTTTCCATGACAACCTTCTCCCAGATTTCAAGTATACACAAGCAAGGTCTATGATTCTTGTTGGCAGAATGGGGTTGGACTGGATGGCCCATGAGGTCTCTTCCAACTCTATGATTCTATGAGTCTATGGAAGGCTTTAATTCAAAAGCATACATTAGGGAACGCAACAAAGTTCCAACTGACAGTTTATTTCCCTCATCCTGGCCCCTCCCCTGCATTGCTCCTGTTTCCATGGCAACCCTCTCCTAGATTTCAAATATACACAGGAAATGTCTATGATTCTAGTTGGCAGAATGGGGTTGGACTGGTTGGCCCATGAGGTCTCTTCCAACTCTAGGATTCTATGACAACAACATGGAGGCTTCTCTGCCTGCCTGATCCATTACCACTCCAAAAGAAAGCAAGACTGCCCCAGGGAGGAATTGTGGCAAAGCTTCCATTCGGGATTCCGTGTTGAGTCAGACTTGGCCAGCACCACCAATGTGTCCGTCTTCCACCTCACTCTTGCCAACTAATTTGCCTAATTGACCAACTTTAATTGAGCCAATCCACATTCCGATATACCTGAAGTCGTCTTTCGGTTTGAGGAAATTCCCAATCCACCTCAACAATGACAACAACAAAGCCGTCTTCCATTCCAGATGGATTTGCGCAATGGGAGAGGCAGTTGCTATTAACTGGGGATCTAATGCTCCTTGCCTTTCCTTGTTAGTCATGTACATGAGATTATTAGTGAGCTCAGGTATGTGGTGATCATATCATACACACGTGGTAATTTTTGTGCATGGTATCATGGTTTCAGTATTGGACTATGACTCTAGACTAGACACCAGACTTGATATCCCCACTCCGTCTTGGAAGTCCATGGAGTGACTTTGGTCAAGTTCTCAACCCCCAGAAATCCCATTAGAGTTTCACCTTAGGGTGGCCAGTGGTGCAGTGGGTTAAACTGCTGAGCTGCTGAATTTGCTGACCACAAGGTCGGTGGTTCGAACCCAGGGAATGGGGTGAGCTCCCGCTGTTAGCCCCAGCTTCTGCCAAACTAGCAGTTCGAAAACATGCAAATGTGAGTAGATCAATAGGCACTGCTCCACTGGGAAGGTAACAGCGCTCCATTTAGTCATGCTGGCCAGATGACCTTGGAGGTGTCTATTGACCACGCTGGCTCTTCAGCTTAGAAATGGAGATGAGATCACCTCCAAAAATCAGACACAACTGGACTTAATGTCAGAGGAAAAACTTTACCTTTACCTTTACTAATAGTATTATATAATTATATTATTGTATATTATTACAATATATTATTTTATTATAGTATTATTATATTTTATAGTATTATTATTATTATACTGGACTTAATTTCAGGGGAAAATTTGTACCTTTACCTTTACTAACAGTATTATATAATTATAGTATTATATGTTATTACTATGTATTATTTTTATTGTAGTATTATATATTATTATTATTATTATTATTATTATTATTATTATTATTATTATATTGGACTTAATGTCAGGGGAAAACCTTTACCTATATATATGTGTGTGTGTGTGTGTGTATATAATTTTATTGTATTATTATATTCTTTAATATTATTATTATTATACTGGACTTAATGTCAGGGGAAAACCTTTACCATTAGTATTATATAATTATATTAATATATATTATTACTATATATTATTTTGTTGTAGTATTATTCTATTCTTTATTATTATTATTATTATTATTATTATTATTATTATTATACTGGACTTAATGCCAGGGGAAAACCTTTACCTTTACCTTTACCATTAGTATTATATAATTATATTAATATATATTATTACTATATTATTATTATTATTATTATTATTATTATTATTATTATTATTATACTGGACTTAATGTCAGGGGAAAACCTTTACCTTTATCTTTACTATTAGTATTATATAATTATATTAATATATATTATTACTATATATTATTTTATTGTATTATTCTATTATTATTATTATTATTATTATTATTATTATTATTATTATTATTATTATTATACTGGACTTAATGTCAGGGGAAAACCTTTACCTTTTACCTAGGGTAGGCATAAGGAGGAAAAGATTTGAAGGCACACAACAATGGCACAAACTATTGTGTTCTGAACCCAGTACTCAAACCATTACACCATGTTGAGCTCGAGCCCTGAAGTTGCTATCACCGTAAGGCTGAAATGCCTCTGAATGACTAAAGGGACAGGCTTTAATAGGAAATTAGATTGGATAAATTGCTTTAATTAGATAAATTGCTTTAATTTTGCTGTACGTGGGGTTGCCTTTGAAAACAGTCAATCTCTCCTGACATTTCATCCACATCTACGGCAGGCACCCACAGAGGTTGTGAGGTCTGTTGGAAACTAAGAAAATTGGATTTGTATACCTGTGAAATGAAGTCCAGGGTGGGAGAAAGAACTCCCACCTTCAGTGCTAAACAATCTGACCAGTGACAACATTCACACTTGCCTCAAGCAGACAAGAGTTCTTTCTCCTACCTTGGACATCATTCCACAGATATAATAACAGTGTTCCCTTGCTTCTTCGAGGTTCGCTTTTCGCGGACTCGCTGTTTCGCGGGTTTTTGCATCCCAGTTTATGAATGGTTGCTGTTGCCCAAAACCACGTTCTAATCCTGCCTCCTGGCAACGATGGAGGGTGGAAGGGGGTTTCATCTTCCTCCTTGCGAGAGAGATTGCAAAGCAAAGCAGAGATAGCTAGTTAAAAAAGGTGTGCAGTGCCTTTACGTCTCCCCTTGCTTTTGCCTCACCCTTGGAACACGATATACATATATAGCGTCCCTACTTCGCGGATTTTCACTTTTTGCGTTTGGTCCTGGAACGTAACACCTGCAATAAGTGAGGGAACACTGTAAACCCCATGTGCCTAATTTCCAACAGACTCCTCAGCCTCTGGGGATGCCTGCCATTGATGTGGGCGAAATGTCAGGAGAGAATGCTTCTGAAACAAAGCCAGAAAACCTGGAAAACTCACAGCAACCCAGTGATTCTGGTCATGAAAGCCTTCGACAACACATTCAAACTTTACCTTTACTATCATCATTTTATTTTGATTGTTGTTGTGTTATTTACACTGTTGTAAACCGCTCTGAGTCCCCTTGGGGAGATGGGGCAAGCGATAAATAAAGTCATTATTGTCGAAGGCTTTCATGGCCGGAATCACTCAGTTCTTGTGGGTTTTTTCGGGCTATATGGCCATGTTCTAGAGGCATTTCTCCTAGAGGAGAAATGCCTCTAGAACATGGCCATATAGCCCGAAAAAACCCACAAGAACTGAAAGTCATTATTATTATTATTATTATTATTATTATTATTATTATTATACAGTTAGAACTTGTGTAATAAAGATCACTTTTTCATTATTCCAATGGGAAAACAGTGGAGTTTGAGCTGCGAAAGGAAATCAAGAGGCTCCAGGAATACAGGACAGCCGGAATCACCGATTTCTGCAGTGAGTATGCGCTGGAGAAATCCGCAAGGAGATATATTTTAATATTGTGCTGTGCTGATGTTATAATATATCCTATACACATATATTATTGATCAACTAGCCGTCCCCTGCCACGTGTTGCTGTGGCCAATCTGTGTATATGTGTGTATATATTTGTGTATATGTGTATATATGTGTGTTTGCGTATATATATGTGGTTTTGTGCATGCATTGTAATGTATTTTTATTTTTTTGGATTTTTAATATCTTTTGCTGTGTTTTTCAGTGTGTTTTTTTTTTTTGAGTGAAGGACATACATTGGGTTGTTGGGTGTCTTGTGTCCAAATTTGGTGCATGCATTGTAATGTATTTTTTTATTATTTTTTGGCTTTTTAAGACCCTTTTGCTGTGTTTTTCCATGTTTTGATGAGTGATTGTCACTCGTTGGCCTGATAGGTGTCTTGTGTCCAAATTTGGTGTCAATTCGTCCAGTGGTTTTTGAGTTATGCTAATCCCACAAACGAACATTACATTGTGATTTATATAGATATTATAATGTAATACAATACAATACTAATAATAATACAATATATAATAATTTTATATTTCGTATTACATGTAATGTTACTAATAATATTACAGTATAGTGGTATGGTACAATATAGTAATATAATAATAATAATATTGTGCTGTGGAAATAATAGAATATATTGTATACATAAATAATATTGATAATATTATAATGTAATGCAATATAATAGTACTAATAATACAATATATAATAATTCCATTTTTCATATTGCATGTAATATTCTGAATAATATTACAGTATAGTGGTATAGTACAATATAGTAGTATATTATAGTAATATTGTGCTGTGCTCATAATATCATATATTGTATACACAAATAATATTGAGGTTCTTGTGGGTTTTTTCGGGCTATATGGCCATGTTCATCCTCAGAGGTAGTGAGGTCTGGTTGTTTCCTCTCTGCTGTTTTGCTGTTGCTTTGCAGAGAGGAAACAGCCAGGCACATCTTAACACCTCTCAACAAAAGATTCCCCCAGACTCAGCCAGGCCTTCAAATGCTAATGAAGGTGGTCACTTGAAACATTCACACCTAGCTCCAGCAGAGAAGAGTTCTTTGCCCCACCCCAGCCATTCCGCAGATATATAAACCCATTGTCCTAATTCCAACAGACCTCACTACCTCTGAGGATGCTTGCCATAGATGCAGGCGAAACGTCAGGAGAAAATGCCTCTAGAACATGGCCCTATAGCCCGAAAAAACCCACAAGAACCTAGTGATTCCAGCCATGAAAGCCTTCGACAATACATCAAATAATATTAATATTATAATGTAGTACAATATAATAATTTCATATTTCATATTACATGCAATATTATTAATAATATTACAGTATAGTCCTGAGCCATCCTGTGTGCCCCCTCGGAGGTAGAGAAGTGACGGAGTAGAAATACCAGAAATAAATAAATAATAAATAGTATAGTGGTGTAGTACAATATAGTAATATATCATACTAACATTGTGCTGTGCTAATAATATTATATATTGTATACACAAATAATATTGATTATAATGTAATACAATATAATACTAATAATACTATATCATCAATTTATATTTCATATTACATGTAATCATCCACATAAATAAGAACGTAATGTTCATTTGTGGGATTAACATAACTGAAAAACCACTGGACGAATTGACATCAAATTTGGAGACAAGACACCTATCAGGCCAACGAGTGACCATCACTCATAAAAACACTGAAAAGCGCAACAGAAGGGACATAAAAGGCCAAAAAAATGCATTATAGCGCATGCGCATAACGACATCTATATAAATAAAAATGTAATGTTCGTTTTTTGGGATTAACATAACTCAAAAACCACTGCACGAATTGACACCAAATTTGGACACAAGACACCTCTCAGACCAACAAGTGACCATCACTCATAAAAACACTAAAAAACACAATGGAAGGGACTTTAAAAAGCCAAAAAAGCAAGAAAATGCTACAGCGCATGTGCAAACACACACACACACGCACATATATACGCAAACACACATGTTCACAAATATATATACATATATACACACACAAAACACATATATACACAGACTGGGCCATATACACAGACTGGGCCACAGTTACAAATAATATTACAGTATAGTGATGTAGTACAATATAGTAATATAGTACCAATATTGTGTTGCGCTAATAATATAATATATTGTATGTACATATAACTTGTAAATTGCTCTGAGTCCCCTTCGGGGTGAGAAGGACGGCATATAAATGTCGTAAATAAATAAATAAATACTAACATTGAGGCCTTTCTCCCACTGAGGCCTCTCTCGCTCTGAGGGTTCTCTCAGACTGAGTCCTCTCCCACACTGAGGCCTTTCGCCCACATATATTTATATATATAAATATTTTAGAGCAGCTATCTCCAGCCAGAATGAGGCTCAGCTGAGTAAATGGTTTGAATGGGAGAAGTCAGGGCCTTTGGGGGGATAGAAAATCCTAGAGAGTTTAGGAAGGCATTAGAGGGATACAGTAATGACACGTCCAGAGTCCTGCTGGGGGCGAAAGGTAGTTTGAAAAAGTAACTTTCCAAGCATGGCACTCACCTGCCTTCTGTTGCCCCAGGTGCGAGGACGTACGACCGCCTCAAGAAAACGCGGGAGGAGGAGCGCCTGAAGCGCACCATGCTTTCCGAGGTCCTCCAGTACATCCAGGACAGCAACGCCTGCCAGCAGTGGCTCAGCCGACAAGCTGACCTGTACGTCTACCGTAAGGCTGGGCTCAATTACTGCTTTTCAGTGAAGCTGGGTGTAATCGCTAACGCACAAATAACAAACAACAGGTTGATGAGGAGAATAGTATAATCATGGTGGTGTGTTTGGCTGAGTACTTTATTATACTGAAAATATGTGAGTCTTGAGAGAGACTTGTATGAGAGGCTTTTCTGGGAGAGGTTTGACTTTTAATTTTTTTTTGTCTGAGACGCTTTAATTTATTTATTTACAGTATTTCTATTTAAAACATGTAACAAAATACCATACACTGAATCCTGTTCCAAAATATCTTCAGTCGTCTTCCTTGAAGTAAATCTTCATCTCAGAAACTGGACACAAGTCTTTGTTATAAGAAATTGAACAAAGAAATGTTTATTTAAGGATTCTCAGGCACACAAAGCATAGTGGTTACATAGTCGTTTCTTCTCAGTTTTCCTTAGTATAGTTACACTTAATTTTTATATCATGAACCTTTGAAACTGTTTCTATGTAACTTCCCGGCTGGCTTATCTTCCTGCCAAGCTGACATTAATAACTTGCTTTACTTTAAAATGTTATTCTTTCTCAGTCTTCTGACTGGGTAAATACAATCTTATAGTTTTTTCACCTAAGCGATAGGTTAAGTGTAAATTTGTCTCCCAAAATACACTTTTACCATCAGTTCCACTGTCTAACACTTAGGCACAGTTCTGCCCTGTATTTACTTCAGCTCTCCCACTAAAGACACAAAATATTACTGGGAATCCCTTTCCCTTAGCTCACAAGTTAGTTACTAATTCAACACTGGTTCATTTAACACTCTACGAGGGTTGAATGAAAAGTAATGCCTCCACCTTCGTAACTCCTTAACGAAGGAAGGTGATCGCCTCGGTAGGTGATCCTGTCGATGCTCTGGTCACTCTCTGGAATGGGGAGATGACTAGGGCAATTGACACGATCGCTCCGGAACGTCCCCTCTCAAGTAGCCGAGCTAAACCAGCTCCTTGGTTCAAGCGAAGGAAGAGGGAACTAGAGAGCGTGTGGCGTTCGGATCTGAACGAGCCAAATCGAACACGGTTTGTGTCGGACTGGATGAGGGCTAACAAATTGAAGTTGAATCCAGACAAGACAGAGGTCCTTCTAGTCAGTCAAAAGGCTAAACAGGGCATAGGGTTACAGCCTGTGTTGGATGGGGTTACACTCCCCCTGAAGACGCAGGTTCGCAGCTTGGGTGTGATCCTGGATTCATCGCTGAGCCTGGAACCCCAGGTTTCGGCGGTGACCAGGGGAGCATTTGCACAACTAAAACTTGTGCGCCAGCTGCGCCCGTACCTTGGGAAGTCTGACTTGGCCACGGTAGTCCACGCTCTGGTTACATCCCGCCTAGATTACTGCAATGCTCTCTACGTGGGGTTGCCTTTGAAGACGGCTCGGAAGCTTCAACTAGTCCAACGTTCGGCAGCCATGATTCTAACAGGAGCGGAACGCAGGGAGCATACAACCCCCCTGTTGTGCCAACTCCACTGGCTACCGATTTGCTACCGGGCTCAATTCAAAGTGCTGGCATTGACCTTTAAAGCCCTAAACAGTTCTGGCCCAAGCTACCTATCCGACCGCATCTCGGCCTATGAACCCACCAGGACTTTGAGATCTTCCGGGGAGGCCCTGCTCTCGATCCCGCCAGCTTCACAAGCACGGCTGGCGGGGACGAGAGATAGGGCCTTCTCGGTGGTGGCTCCCCGGCTGTGGAACACCCTTCCCACAGACATTAGATTAGCACCATCTCTAATGGTATTCCGCAAAAAAGTAAAGACCTGGTTATTTGTGCAGGCGTTCGAATAATTAGTGCAATGAATGGTAATGACATAGGAATGGAACAATGGATGATGAATCTGGATCATGTTTTTTAGTGATGAGACGCTAGTGAATGGTTATTATAGTAATTGTGTACTAATTGTGTATTAGATTAGGTTGTTAACTGTTTTTTATATTGGTGCATTTTGCTGTTTCTTGTGTGTTGTGAACCACGGTGAGTCGCCTCCGGGCTGAGAACAGCGGTATAGAAGTAAAGTAAATTAATTAATTAATTAATTAATTAATTAACAGATGGCAGTACTGGTATGCGGCAGGTACTGGCTTGTTCAGTAGACTCTACTCTACAGTTCAATTTTGGCGGGAAGCCTTAGCATTGAACAGTTTGTTGTTAAAGTGCAAAGTATGGAACCCTGCGCAGATGGTCAGTCAATGCGACTTAAGCAACGTGTAATCATTGAATTCTTGACAGCAGAATTTGGTGTCACCCCAAAGGAGATTAATCAGAGAATGCAAGTTGTTTATGGTGATTGTCTTGATATGAGTAGTGTGCTTCATTGGGCGAGTAGGTTGAAAGATGTTGAGGTGGGAACATCTGACTTGCGTGACAAACAAAGAGTTGGACGTCCTGTGACAGCAACCACTGAGTTTCACAAGCAAAAGGTTGACAGATGGATTCAGGATGATCGTAGTATCACTCAGAGAAAAATTTCAAGCATAATCAACATTTGACAAGAACTTGTGGGTCACATTATTACTTTGCTTGGTTATCAGAAGATCTGTGCACGATGGGTACCCAGGATGCTGACGCCTGAAATGAAAGCGCACAGACTTGAAACTGCAGAGACTGGATCTCACCACCGTACGACATCCTCCATACAGTCCAGATTTAGCACCGCCTGACTTTCATCTGTTCCTGATAATGAAAGAAGATCTGCGGGGACATCATTATGCTTCTGATGAAGACGTTGAGAGAACCGTGAGACTCTAGTTGCAGTAACAGAATATCGACTTCTTCTGTGACGGCTTCAGACGTCGTGTGACAGCAACCACCGAGTTTCACAAGCAAAAGGCTGACAGATTGATTCAGGACGATCGTCATATCACTCAGAGAGAAATTTCAAGCATAATCGGCATTTCACAAGAACGTGTGAGTCACATTATTGCTTTGCTTGGCTATCGGAAGATCTGTGCACGATGGGTACCCAGGATGCTGACACCTGAAATGAAAACGCATAGACTTGACTGGATCTCACCACCGTATGGCATTCTCCATACAGTGCAGATTTAGCACCATCAGACTTCCATCTGTTCCTGATAATGACAGAAGATCTGCGGGGACATCATTATGCTTCTGATGAAGACGTTGAGAGAACTGTGAGACTCTGGTTGCAGAAACAGAATGTCTACTTCTTCTGTGACGGCTTCAGAAAACCGGTTCATTGTTGGCATAAATGTATCCAATAATCGGCATTTCACAAGAACTTGTGGGTCACATTATTGCTTTGCTTGGCTATCGGAAGATCTGTGCACAATGCAGGCATGTAGCCGGGGGGGGGGGGGGGGGGCTTGAGGGGCTTCAGCCCCCCCCCCCCGAAATTCTCATGGTGGTTCGCGAAAAGGCCTTACTGGTGCATTATTTAAATTGTTATGTTTATTCATATCATGATCTGATCACCATACTCAATATATCCCATATGCATGGGGGTATTGGGGTAATGATACAAAAGGTTTGCTAGGGTAGACCCTCTTTCACTCAGACTCAGCCCCCCCAAAACTCAGCCCCCCCCAACCCCCCTGAAAAAAACTCAGCCCCCCCCCCCGAATCGAAATCCTGGCTAGGGGCACAGTGGGTACCCAGGATGCTGACACCTGAAATGAAAGCGCATAGACTTGACTAGATCTCACCACTGTATGGCATACTCCATACAGTCCAGATTTAGCACTGTTTGACTTCCATCTGTTCCCGATAATGACAGAAGATCTGCGGGGACATCATTATGCTTCTGATGAGAGAACGGTGAGACGCTGGTTGCGGAAACAGTGTCGACTTCTTCCGTGACGGCTTCAGAAAACTTGTTCATTGTTGGCAGAAATGTACCCAATTGTCTGGTGATTATGTGGGAAAGTGAATCATGGTAGTTAAAAATCACATTCTAAGGATTATTTATGCGTTTGAGTTATTCAAATATTCCCATCCAAACCCAAGTAACGAAGGTGGAGGCATTACTTTTCATTCAACCCTCGTAATATTGAGACTGAAGACTGAAATCCCTTGGTTCTGTTCTAACACATGAAGAACCAACCTTCCCTTTGGGTCCTCCGGCCAAAGACTGACTAACCTTTTTAAAAATGTCCGCTCTCCTCTTGTTGGCAGCTAGCTCCTCCCCCTTTGGCTCCCGATCTCAGCTAAACTAGGTACATTTCTACAGCAAACTTGGTTGCTACGGCACAGACCTGGGTTTGCAATATACTGACCTTAATAAACATATTCAAAACCCATATTATAATTAGGTATTTTGTTACACTGGGCTTTAATTTAGGTCCAAACCATGCCGAGCTTTCAAAGCGACAACCAGAACTTTTGCAACTTGCCTGGAAACAAACGAGCAGACAGAAAGTCATGGGAAAAGAGTCTGGTTCAATAATATGCACTTTTGTTTCACTTGCAGCGATTCCGGGTTGAGTCCTTCCATGCCAGTTTCATCCAATTCAGGTAGGTGTCTTTCTGAGCTTCATATCTATTGCCTTGTCAGTGTCGATGCTCTTAGAAAGGACTCAACTGGGTTGCTGTGAGTTTTCTGGGCTGCCTGGCCATCTTCCAGAAGCATTCTCTCCTGACGTTTCGCCTGCATCTATGGTAGGCATCCTCAGAGGTTGTGAGGCATGCGTACCCGATAGGCTCAAATTTGAATACACCGAAAAACACAGCGGAAGGGACTTAAAAAGCCAAAAAATAAAAATACATGACAACGCATGCATTAAACCACATATATATGTACAAACACAAATATATGTGCACATATATGCATATAGAAACACACAAAACACATACACAGAAAGGGGGAAGGAAGGAAGGAGGGAAAGAAGGTAGAGAAGGAAGGAAGGAGAGAAGGAGAGAGAGAAAGAGGGAAAGAAGGAAAGAAAGAAGGTAGAGAGGGAGAGAAAGAGAGAGGATAGGAGAGAAGGAAAGAAAGAAAGGCAGAGAAGGAAGGAAGGAGAGAAGGAAATAAAAAAAGTGAAAGAGGGAAGGAAGGAGAGAAGGAATGAAAGAAAGAAGGAAGGGCGGAAAGAAAGAGACAAGGAAGGATGGAACCAAAGAGTAAAGTAAGCGAGAAAAGAAACAGGTAGAGAAGGAAGAAAGAAGAAGGGAAAGAAAAAGAGGGGGGAAAAGGAAAGAGGGAGGGAAGGAAGAGAAAGAAAGAAGGAGAGAAAGAGGTAGGGAAAGTTGGCCATAGCAACGTGTGGCAAGTATAGCTAGTGTGTGTGTGTGTGCGTCTGTGTGTGTGTGTGGGTATATATATGTATGTATGTATATGTATATGTGTGTGTGTGTGTATAGTAGCCATCCCCGGCCATGCGTTGCTGTGGCCCAGTCTGTGTATATGTGTTTTGTGTGTGTATATGTATATGTGTGTGTGTATATATTTGTGTATATATGTGTGTTTGTGTGTATATATATGTGGGTTTGGTGCATGCGTTGTAATTTTTGTTTTTCGGCTTCTTAGTCTCTTCTGCTGTGTTTTTCAGTGTTCTTATGAGTGATGGTCACTTGTTGGCCTGATACATGTCTTGTGTCCAAATTTGGTGTCAATTACTCCAGTGGTTTTTGAGGTATGTTAATCCCACAAATGAACATTACATTCATTTGTCCGTCCGTCCGTCCGTCCATCCATCCATCCATCCATCCATCCATCCATCCATCCATCTATCTATCTAATTCCTTGTTTGGAAGTGTTATTTCCTGTTGCATTGTGTGGTACTTACTTTGAAAGTAGTTGTTATCCTCCAGGAAACTTTGTTTTTGTGACTGCCACAAACTCTGTTGAATTTGTTGAGACTCAATGAGATATTCATAGCAAAATATGCTGTAGGATTTCCTGCAATCACAATTTTTTTGCAGTTGATTAACTTTTCCCATGTTTTTATGCTAGAACCAATTAGGAAATGACATATGTAACCCAGGAACGAAATCCATGCTCTATAGTGTAATCTTTGGACCTGAAATGAGGAATGCATTCCACTCGTCGGTGGTGAATGCCACTGGGAAGGGCCACAGTTGACATGGATGCGCTTTGGAACAACAATGACTCCTCTCTCGGGCAGCTCATTGCCTCACTGGGATCTTTCCCGTTAACATCATATTTCCAGTTATTTGATCCCAGAGCCTGGATCGACCTCAGCATGACTCACACGGCAACATTTCTGCTCTGTGATCTGTGCTTTGTTGTGGAAAGATGGCATGAGGAAGAATGTCAGGCCAAATGAGTTCCAACTGAATGGCACATGACCCAGTTTGCCTACCAGCAGAACCCAATTCAGTACCATTACATTCTGCAGAGTTGAACTGCTAAAGGATGAGGAATTCCACCCATCTTGTGATAACAATTGGCCTAACATTGCTTTTGTTGTCTCTCTCCAGGCAGAAGAAGCGCCCCGCCATTGAACCTCACTGGCCTCCCTGGGACAGAAAAACTGAACGAGAAAGAGAAAGAGGTAAATGAGGAATGATTGGTAAGATTGTGGTATTATGCTGCTCTCAGGGTAGAACAACATGAGCCCAATCCAAAACCAATCCTAGTCCATTACAACCCCATTAAACTATATACACCGTTCCCTCACTTATTGCAGGTATTTCATTCCAGGAACACCCACGAAAAGTGAAAATCCGCAATGTAGGGAAAGCCTGACTCCCCCTCTACTCCTCCTCTTCTTCCTAATTCTCCATCGCTTTTGATGGACTTCGAGGTGAGCCCTCACTTATCATGGGTGTTTCGTTCCAGGAACACCCACGAAAAGGGAAAATCCGCGATGTAGGGAAAGCCTGAATTCCCCTCTCCACTCCTCCTCTACTTCCTTCCTAATTCTCCATCGCCTTTGAAGGACTTTGAGGTGAGCACTCACTTATCGCGGGTGTTTCGTTCCAGGAACACCCACGAAAAGTGAAATCCGCAATGTAGGGAAAGCCTGACTCCCCCTCTACTCCTCCTCCTCCTCCTTCCTAATTCCCCATCGCCTTTGACAGGATTCAAGGCGAGCCCTCACTTATCACGGGTGTTTTGTTCCAGAAACACCCATGAAAAGTGAAAATCTGCAATGTAGAGAAAGCCTGACTCCCCCTCTACTCCTCCTCTTCTTCCTAATTCTCCATCGCTTTGACGGGCTTCGAGGTGAGACCTCACTTATCACGGGTGTTTAGTTCCAGGAACACCCGCGAAAAGGGAAAATCCGCGATGTAGGGAAAGCCTGACTCCCTCTCCACTCCTCCTCTTCTTCCTTCCTAATTCTCCATCGCCTTTGATGGCCCAACCCTCAGGCAGGTAGGCAGGGAGGAAGGGAAAGAGCATGCCTACCCAGCCGAGGCCTGCTGTTGCAGCTGACGACTACTCCTGCAAGCTCTCCCTCTGCCTCCCGGCCTGCTTGCCTGCGCCACAGTGCCCAGTGACCAGCTGGTCCCCAAAGAGGTGAGTGGGCCCAAGGCCGGAGGCCCAAAGGTGCTGGAGGCAAGAGGAGACAGGGTCGGGAGAGCGAGGGCACGCTCACCTCTTTGGGGATCAACTGGCTCTCCTTGCTGGGCACCGTGGCACAGGCAGGCCAGGAGGTGGAGGCAGAGGGAGAGAGAGGTTGTGGGAGTCACCATCAACGGGGGTCGTCGTCAAAGAGCTGAGCAGGACCTCACCCTCCCGACCCTGTCCCCTCCACTTCCAGCGCCTTTGGGCCTCTGGCCTTGTGCCCGTTCACCTCTTTGGGGACCAGCTGGTTCTCCCTGCTGGGCACCGTGGCGCAGGCAGACTGGGAGGCGGAGGCAGAGGGAGGGAGAGCTCGCGGGAGTTGTCGTAACAGCTGACATTTCAAAGAAAGGAGCTCCAGCTTCCCATGCGGGGACATGAGAGAAGTCTCCCACAGGATGGTAAAACATCCAGGCAACGTCCTTGCAGACAGCCAATCCTCTCACACCAGAAGCGACTTGTAGTTTCTCAACTCACAGGGTGAGCTCCTGTCTATTAGCTCCAGCTTCCCATGTGGGGACATGAGAGAAGCCTCCCACAAGGATGGTGAAACATCCGGGCAATGTCCCCTGGGCAACGTCCTTGTAGACGGCCAATTCTCTCACACCAGAAGCGACTTGCAGTTTCTCAAGTCGTGGGGGTGAGCTCCTGTCTGTCAGCTCCAGCTTCCCATGTGGGAACATGAGAGAAGCCTCCAACAAGGATGGTAAAACATCTTGGCAATGTCCCCTGGGCAACGTCCTTGCAGACAGCCAATTCTCTCACACCAGAAGCAACTTGCAGTTTCTCAAGTTGTGGGTGTGAGCTCCTGTCTGTTAGCTCCAGCTTCCCATGTGGGGACATGAGAGAAGCCTCCCACAAGGATGGTGAAACATCCAGGCAATGTCCCCTGGGCAACGTCCTTGTAGACGGTCAATTCTCTCACACCAGAAGTGGCTTGTTGTTTTTCAAGTCATGGGGGGAGCTCCTGTCTGTCCGCTCCAGCTTCCCATGTGGGGACATGAGAGAACTTCCCACAAGGATAGTAAAACATCTGGGCAAAGGATAGTAAAACATCTGGGCAATGTCCCCTGGGCAACGTCCTTGCAGACAGCCAATTCTCTCACACCAGAAGCAACTTGCAGTTTCTCAAGTCATGGGGGTGAACTCCTGTCTGTCAGTTCCAGCTTCCCATACAGGGCCATGAGATAAGTCTCCCACAAGGATGGTAAAACATCCGGGCAATGTCCCCTGGGCAACGTCCTTGCAGACAGCCAATTCTCTCACACCAGAAGCAACTTGCAGTTTCTCAAGTCACTCCTGACACGAAAAAAAATGAAGTGGGGGGGAGAGGACACGCCACAGGGTGCCTAAATTATCTCTCACCTTCTCTCCCAGCTCTGCCAGGTCGTTCGGCTGGTCCCCGGAGCGTACTTAGAGTACAAGGCGGCCTTAGTCAACGAGTGCCACAAACAGGGAGGCCTCCGGCTGGCCCAGGCACGAGCCCTGATCAAGATCGACGTGAACAAAACCAGGAAGATCTACGACTTCCTCATCCGGGAAGGATGCATCACCAAGGCGTAACGGACGCACCTTTGGGACTGCTTCGACAGCAAGGACCTTGAATCTCTTTTGGAGTCGTGATTTTGGACAATTGCAAAGGAGGATTGTCTTTGTACTGTTTCTTTCTCCCCTGTAACATTGGTATGATGCTGCTGCTATGAATGCGTATAACGTGGGATTAAAAATCTGAATGGACATAGTGGTTGGCAAACTTAGAAACAAATGCGGTCATTGCTAAGAGTCAACATAGATTGATCAAAAACAAGTCATGCCAGACTCATCTGATCTCTTTTTTCAATAGAGTTACAAGCTGGGTAGATACGGGGAATGCCGTGGATGGAGCAGGTCTGGACTTCAGTAAGGCCTTCAGCAAGGTTCCCCATAACCTTCTGCAAGAAAACTAGTCCAATGTGGGCTGGGCAAAACTACGGTTAGGTGGATCTGTCATTGGTTAAGTGGACGAACCCAGAGAGTGATTCTCCCCAATGCTTCCTCTTCATCCAGTGCGTGGGTAAAAGATCATGGACAACAAGTTAAAGAAGAGCCAACAATGTGATGCTGCAGCTAATAAAGCCAATGGGATTTGGGCCTGCATCAATCTAGTGCCTAGATCAGGGAAAGTCATGCTCCCTGGATCTAGACACGTAAAAATCCTTTAGTTTGGCCTGTATATAGTGTCTAGATCCAGGGAAGTCATGCACCCCATGCTCTCTTCTGCCTTGGTCAGACCACACCTGGAATACTGTGTCCAATTCTGGGCACCACAATTGAAAGGAGATGTTGACAAGCTGGAATGTGTCCAGAAGCGGGCGACTAAAATTATCAAGGGTCTGGAGAATAAGGCCTATGAGGAGCGGCTTAAAGAGCTGTGCATGTTTAGCCTTCAGAAGAGAAGACTGAGAAGAGATATGATGTTGTTGTTTATTCGTTCAGTCACTTCCAACTCTTCGTGATGTTTATGGACCATCTCATGCCAGAGCTCCCTGTCGGCCATTGCCATCCCCCAGCTCCTTCAAGGTCAAGCCAGTCACTTCATAGAATCAGAGTTGGAAGAGACCTCATGGACGATCCAGTCCAACCCCCTGCCAAGAAGCAGGAATATGGCATTCAAATCACCCCTGAGGGAAATAAACCGTCAGTTGGAACTTTGTTGCATTCCCAAACGTATGCTTTTGAATTAAAGATTTCTATAGAATCATAGAGTTGTAAGTGACCTTGTGGACCATCCAGTCCAACCCATTCTGCCAAGAAGCAGGAAAATTGCATGCAAAGCACCCCCTACAGATGGCCATCCAGCCTCTGTTTAAAAGCCTCCAAAGGAGGAGCCTCCACCACATTCCGGAGCAATGCAGGGGAGGGGCCAGGGTGAGGCTTGAGGGAAATAAACCGTCAGTTGGAACTTTGTTGCATTCCCGAATGTATGCTTTTGAATTAAAGCCTTCTATAGAATCATATAATCGTAGAGTTGGAAGAGACCTCATGGGCCATCCAGTCCAACCCCATTTCTGCCAAGCAGGAAAATTGCATGCAAAGCACCTCTGACAGATGGCCATCCAGCCTCTGTTTCAAAGCCTCCAAAGAAGGAGCCTCCGCCACACTCCAGGGCAGAGAGTTCCACTGCTGAATGGCTCTCACAGTCAGGAAGTTCTTCCTCATATTCAGGTGGAATCTCCTTTCTTGTAGTTTGAAGCCATTGCTCCATTGCGTCCTAGTCTCCAGGGAGGCAGAAAACAAGCTTGTTCCCTCCTCCCTGTGGCTTCCTCTCACATATTTATACATGGCTATCATATCTCCTCTCAGCCTTCTCTTCTTCAGGCTAAACATGCCCAGCTCCTTAAGCCGCTCCTCATAGGGCTTGTTCTCCAGACCCCTGATCATTTAAGTCGCCCTCCTCTGGACACATTCCAACTTCAAGGGTACCATCCATCCATCTTGCCCTTGGTCGGCCCCTCTTTATTTTCCCTTCCATTTTCCCCAGCATCATTCTCTTCTCCAAGCTTTCCTGTCTTCTCATGATGTGTCCAAAATACTTCATCTTTGCTCTACTAGCCTTCCCTCCAATGAGCAGTTGGGCTTTCTTTCCTAAAGTATGGACTGGTTGGATCTTCTCTAAGTCCAAGGCACTCTCAGCATTTTTCTCCAGCACCACAGTTCAAAAGCATCTATCTTCCTTCGCTCAGTCTTCCCTAAGGTCCAGCTCTCGCATCCATAGGTTACTACGGGGAATACCATTGCTTTAACTCCATGGACCTTAGTTGCCAGTGTGATGTCTCTACTCTTCACTATTTTATCGAGATTGGTCCTTGCTCTCCTCCCAAGAAATACGTTTTCTGATTTCCTGGCTGCACTCTGTGTCTGCAGTAATCTTTGCACCTAGAAATACAAAGTCTGTCACGGCCTCCACGTTTTCTCCCTCTGTTTACCAGTTATCAATCAGTCTTGTGGCCATCATCTTGGTTTTTTTTATGTTTAGCTGCAACCCGGCTTTTGCACTTTCTTCTTTCACCTTGATTAGAAGGCTCCTTAGTTCCTCTTCGCTTTCAGCCATCAAAGTGGTATCATCTGCATATCTAAGGCTGTTAATGATATGATAGCCATGTATAAATATGTGAGGGGAAGTCATAGGGAGGAGGGAGCCGCCCTGGAGACTAGGACATGGAACAATGGCTTCAAACTACAAGAAAGGAGATTCCATCTGAACATTAAGAAGGACTTCCTGACTATGAGGGCCATTCAGCAGTGGAACTCTCTGCACCAGAGTGTGGTGGAGGCTCCTTCTTTGGAGGCTTTGAAGCAGAGGCTGGATGGCCATCTGTCAGGGGTGCTTTGCTTCTTGGCAGAATGGGATTGGACTGGATGGCCCATGAGGTCTCCTCCAAGTCTATGATTCTATGGAAGGCTTTAATTCAAAAGCATACATTAGGGAACGCAACAAAGTTCCAACTGACAGTTTATTTCCCTCAAGCCTCGTCCTGGCCTCTCCCCTGCATTGCCCCAGGATGTGGTGGAGGCTCCTCCTTTCGAGGCTTTGAAACAGAGGTGGGTTTGGACAGGATGGCCCAGGAGGTCTCTTCCAACTCTACGATTCTATGATTCTATGGAAGGCTTTAATTCAAAAGCATACGTTAGGAAACGCAACAAAGTTCCAACTGATGATTTATTTCCCGCAAGCTCCACCCTGGCCTCTCCCCTGCATTGCCCCGGAATGTGGTGGAGGCTCCTCCTTTGGAGGCTTTGAAACACAGGCTGGATGGCCATCTGTCGGGGGTGCTTTGAATGCAATGTTCCTGCTTCTTGGCAGAATGGAGTTGGACTGGATGGCCCATGAGGTCTCTTCCAACTCTATGATTCTATGATTTGATTCTTAGGCCATCCAAGAAGGGATTTTCGCTTTGGTACCCGAAAAGGCATAAATGCAGAACGGCTGCTCTTGAAGCACATCTTCTGTGTGGGAGAAGCAGACACAAAACATTTCCCCCTCCACTTATATGTGCCTGATTTAAAACCTGCCTGTTTCAAGAGGTTCGGCACGTGCCGGAGGAGCTCAAAACTGCGCCACGTGTTGAATTATGCCATTCTGAAATCACACCATTCAAAAGAGATGAGGGGGAGAGTGTCACTTTAGACGCCTGTTTGGAGCACAATAGGACTATTCGTCACCTCTTTCCCAAGTGTCTTCTAAGTTCTGCATTCACAATTCAGATTTTGGCTGGAATGATGCTATTATAGCACAAAAGGCCAACACAGTATTTTCTGTTCGTCATGGGGCGCAATTCTGTCTTTGGTGGGGTTCAGAATGCTCTTTGATTGTAGGTGAACTATACATCCCAGCAACTACAACTCCCAAACGTCAAGGTCTATTTTCCCCCAAACTCCACCAGTGTTCATATTGGGGCATATTGAGTATCTGTGCAAAGTTTGGTCCAGATCCATCATTGTTTAAGTCCACAGTGCTCTCTGGATGTAGGTGAACTACAACCCCCAAACTCAAGGTCAATGCCCATCAAACCCTTCTGGTATTTTCTCTTGGTCATGGGAGTTCTGAGTGCCAAGTTTGGCACAATTCTATTGTTGGTGGGGTTCAGAATACTCTTTGATTGTAGGTGAACTATAACTCCCAGCAACGACTGATGCCAGACTTAGCACGGACACCCGATCGGCATAGCCCGCCACGGCCCAGAACTCCTGAGCTCACGCCATCCGCCGCCCCCATCCAGCTGCGCGGAGGCTGAGGGTGGCGGATGGCGTGAGCTCAGGAGTTCTGGGCCTTGGCGGGCTATGCCGATCGGGTGTCCGCGCTAAGTCCGGTGTCACTACAACTCCCAAACGTCAAGGTCTATTTTCCCCAAACTCCACCAGTGTTCACATCTGGGCATATGGAGTATTTGTGCCAAGTTTGGTCCAGATCCATCATTGAGTCCACAGTGCTCTCTGGATGTAGGTGAACTACAACTCCCAAACTCAAGGTCCATGCCCACCAAACCTAGTATTTTCTGTTAGTCACGGGAGCTCTGTGTGTCAAGTTTGGTTCAATTCCATCATTGGTGGAGTTCAGAATGCTCTGATTGTAGGTGAACTATAAATCCCAGCAACTACAACTCCCAAATGTCAAGATTCTATTTTCCCCAAACTCCACCAGTGTTCACATTTGGGCATACTGAGTATTCGTGTAGAGTTTGGTCCAGATCCATCATTGTTTGAGTCCACAGTGATCTCTGGATGTAGGTGAACTACAACTCCAAAACCAAAGGACACTGCCCACCAAACTCTTCCAGTATTTTCTGTTGGTCATGGGAGAACTGTGTGCCAAGTTTGGTTCAATTCCAACGTTGGTGGGGTTCAGAACGCTCTTTGATTGTAGGTGAACTATAAATCCCAGCAACTACACCTCCCAAACGTCAAGGTCTATTTTTCTCCAAGTGTTCACATCTGGGCATATGGAGTATTTGTGCCAAGTTTGGTCGAGATCCATCATTGAGTCTACAGTACTCTCTGGACGTAGGTGAACTACAACTCCCAAACTCAAGGTCAATGCCCACCAAACCCTTCCAGTATTTTCTGTTGGTCATGGGAGCTCTGTGTGTCAAGTTTGGTTCAATTCCTTCCTGTCCCCAAGTCGACCGACTAGTCATCTGAAATGTAATTAAGCCATTGCGCATTGCGAAGCACAACACGAAAGGGCACATTTTGTGGC